AAAACTGAATAATACACTACAAAGATGCACAACTTAAGCTCATTGAATAATATAGATATATAGTGTATAGGAGCATTAACTGTTATTAATAAAATGCCCACTGCAAAACTTTGTACCAAAAATGAATTACATTACACTAGGTAAAATGTAACCATTTCCAATTCATTGGTTTTACAGAAACCATAATTCCTCACAGCCACTTACCAGAAGTAACCCTGTCTATACCAATGGTCCAATTAAAGGATGTGCACATTTCAATAAGGAAGCACATGAATGTATTAAACACATCTGAACTGTCCCTCTTATGTGTGCCAAGATATTTTGAGACAATAATGGCCAGAAAACACACTATCTCTCTCTATCTCTCTCTCTCTTTATATATATATATCCCCCATTCTTTTTCCTTCATTCTTAAAAAAACAAACTAAAACCTACAAACAGCACTTCCAGCAAGTAGCTCCTAGCAATTGGTTTTAATGGAAAAAACAAAGCCAACATCAGGACTTTTTCCACAGAAGACATAAATAATGAAATAAATAATGGCTGCATTCAATTTAGCTGCTTAAGGTTTAGGTTCCTAGTAGCCATAGTTAATGTTACTAGTTAATTAGTGATACCTGTGGTTTTCTCATCATGGCAAGTCAAAATGTATGCTGTGAAAAATATGATTGATTTTTGTAAATAATTGTGGAAAAGCAATGTCGTTCTAACATGCCCTGCAATACCATCATGATTTTAATATGTTAATGCTGTTATCAGTATAGCAATAGCCACATTTAAAATGTCTTTTGTCGTGTATCATAAGAGAAGCAGATGTAGTGTGTGCCAGTCATAAGTGGACAGTTCTTATCATTTTTATCCCGTTTTTATGTCAATCCTTGCTGAACACTTTTAGATCCAGGCTGCTTTATCTATACGCTTTTAACAAAGCATAATACTCTAATAATCACGTTCCGGGTCGGGACAGACTACCGAGGCTAGCACAATCCGGCTTGTTTGTAGCATTTTTAGCCTTTGGTGCTAACGCTAACCGAGCAACAGGAATAGCAGACAACGGGTACCAAGCCGACCTACCGACTGCAAACCAATGCCTCATCTCCGAAGCAGGTCCTCTTGTTGGACCCGTGTCGGTAAGTTTTGCTGCATGCCAACTCTTCTGTGGATCACCTCTACCACCTCAGTTAAAACCTTTCAAGTGTAAATATCTGCGGTCTCCCTGTTAGCTGCTGCTAACATCTACAGCTGGCAGCGAAGCTTTTAGACTTTATGCACTTGTAGCCCTGTACTGGCCTCCGCTTTTATTTCTGCTCGTCAGCCACCTTTCTACAACCCATGGCTCCACTTACCTCTCCGCCCGGCTGTGTCAGCTGCGCCCTCCTGGCCGATAAGATTGTAGCGCTAGAAGCCAGAATATCCATGACGCCGAGAAGCTCACGGACACCATCATTTTCGGTCCAGCACAGACCGACACAGATTGTGCGCGAGTGCCTGATGCCACTGTTCACTGTCATGTTGAAGTTGCTGGAGGTGCCTCTACCCCAGAGCCTGTTGCCACTCAGTGCCCTGGTATTGGTGCCTCTCCTCCGGTCACCGCCGCTAGCGACACCTGGACGCGGCTTGGGGCTAAGCCAAAAACCCTGGCCAGTTCCACACCATCTCTGTTCACCATTCCCCATCTACTCCGTCATCGGACAGGACGCTCCCCGCCACAGGCCTCCACAGCGCACTCCTATATCGTTGATCGTCGGTGACCCCATTGTCAGACATACAATCACTGCACGCTCGGTGCTAAGGTTGTGGGTATTATTCAGTGGATCCCGCCTGTACTCAGCAAATACCCACATGTCCAAAATCTTATCATTCATGTGGGTACGAATGGCACAACCAGGCAGCAGTCTGAGGTTTTAAGCAAAATTTTAACCGCCTTTTTAACGAACTCAACAGCTGTGACTTCATCCCAGGACCCCTACCTTCGCTGGGCCAAGGTAGGGGTTAGTTCAGTCGTTAAACACGTGGCTGCAGTCAGTCTGTCCATCACACGATTTGGCTTTTATCAACAATTTAAATCTTTTCTGGGAACGGGCTTGTTTTTCTGTTATTTTTAGGAGCGATGGTATCCACTCCAACTTCCATGGCACACGTGTACCTCCAGCAAACATTTTCCATGCTGTTTCTACAGCCTCCCGCCACTGACTGACCGCTATCCATACATGGATGTTTGTAGACGACACACCGGCCAGTGATTACTCCTGCGGGCCTCCAATGACTTCGCTGCCTCCTGTTTTTAATAATAGCTCCCCCTGCTGGCTTGGGGTTGGGAGTCCGATACATAGCCGGCCTTACTATTGTACATCAGACCAATTTTAAAGTATCTTCACTGGCTACCTGCCTGCTTCAGAATTGATTTTAACATCCTTTTATTGGTTCTTAAAGGTAATGGTCTTAGTCCTACGTATTTATGAGATTTGCTTTTATCCTATGAACCTTCTACAGCCCTCAGGTCTTCTGGTAGTGGCCTTTTTAATCATACACAGTCAGAGCAAAAACCCACGAACAGCCTCCCTGAAGACCTGAGGGCAGAAGACAGTTTTGATGTTTTTAAAAGCAAACTCAAGACCTACTATTTTAGTCTGAATTTTATTATTTATTATTTATTAATCATTCTATTTATTTATATATTTTAAGCTGTTTTACCAGTTTGTCCTTTTATTCTATGATTATTTTCAGGATTATTTTCCTTTAAATACCTCACTTTTATTTCTGGTTATTNAGGTCTTCTGGTAGTGGCCTTTTTAATCATACACAGTCAGAGCAAAAACCCACGAACAGCCTCCCTGAAGACCTGAGGGCAGAAGACAGTTTTGATGTTTTTAAAAGCAAACTCAAGACCTACTATTTTAGTCTGAATTTTATTATTTATTATTTATTAATCATTCTATTTATTTATATATTTTAAGCTGTTTTACCAGTTTGTCCTTTTATTCTATGATTATTTTCAGGATTATTTTCCTTTAAATACCTCACTTTTATTTCTGGTTATTTATTTTATTTCTACTTTTATTTCTGGTGGTTCTCTCTTCCGAACATTCCCTCTCATTTAGCATTTTCTTATTTTATCTTTATTATTTTGTCTTCAATTTCACCCAATTTTAATATCCTACCTTTTCTGGTTTATTCATTTTAATATGTCTCCTCTGTTTTAGTATTTTATTATTTTATTTTTATCACTCTAGCGTTATCTTTGTTTTGCAGTCTTCAGTGTTTCCTCAGTGCAAATTTATGAGATTCATCATGGCATTTCCTCAGTTACACAGTTCCTGTTATTATTGTCGTATTTCTATTGTTTTTATGTATTACATGCTAATTTATTGTTCTGTGTGTAAATATGTGTGTGTGTGGGGGGGGGTTGTGTTTTTTTAATTGCTTTTATTCTGTGTGCATTGTTCGAATGAAAAGTGCTACACAAATAAAGTCTGATTGACTGATTGATTGATGTTTATTATCTGGAAAAAGGCACTCACTACATTTAATGTGATCGTTCACAAAATAAACTATACACAACGAATAGTTGCTAAGCTTGTCACAGGTCATGGTCATGGAAAGGTTAATGCTATTCATATCAGATGAACAGGTTACAAGTACAAGCAGTCAGTGAGTGTGTGTGTGTGTGTGTGTGTGTGTGTGTGTGTGTGTGTGTGTGTGTGTGTGTGCGAGTACCTGTTTGTAAAATGCAAAAGAGAAAAGGTTTAGATGATCATGTGTCAAACATTTCAGTGAGTGAGCCTCTATTAACTACAGGAAGTGTTTCAGCAAAGAAATACAAAAAGAAAGAAACATGATATATTTTGTTCATATTTTACAGGTCAATGGAAAATACAACTCAAGTGCTCGGCTGATATAAAAGGGAGTAATCACAGATGCAAACATGCTCGGTGAGTTCAAAACCAACAGCGGTCACATTCATGAATTTGAAAAGTCATTTAAGCAATCTCAAGATATTCTGTGATCATGTGAATGTCATATACAAAACAAAGAAGTTCAAAACTGAACACAGCTGACAATCTCATGGCCAAAGGTGATTAATAGGGTCTTTATGGGGAGGATTCCAGCACTGTGTTGATTCACTTGTAGGGAAATGGTGGCTGAAAGCAATACATTTTATTTTCTTCAAACAAAAAGAAACATTATCACAGGTGTAACTCCAAGCTTTCAAGTTAGTTTACGTCAATTAACTGCTATGGTTGTGTTTTAAGAACCATGCACAATCAAGATGAATAGTGTTTTTTTTTGTTTTTTTTTATGAGCTCTCAGTATGTAATAGTTTCTACCCTAAGGCTACATCTTCAAAATCACATACCATGGAGGAATAATTGTACATGTCAGCTAGGTAAATGCTCATACAGTCTATTGATCCAGCAGAAAAAACAACCTCCCACTCTCCATTCGTTAAACGTTCAAGTCCTTTTGTAGCAGGCTGCCGAGCTAAAAATAGCCCCCCACAGTATGAGATGACAAAGCGGAGATCGATAATGTTCCTGAGGATGGATGACATGAATCTAGCTCTCTGCGAGTCCTGCCCACACTGTTAAAAAATAAGATTCAACGTCAACATACGAGTCGTTGCCCCCGGGTGTCTCATAAGAGCCGTGAGGGCTGAAAGACAACAGAGCTGGAAAGACAGCCCCTGTACAAATGAAAGTTCTTAAGTAGCCCATTGTACAGTAACATCCGTAATGAGGTATTTTAACTACAGCCTCTTCTGTCTCTTCAGTTTTATTCATTTTTGGCAACACATTTTCTTCCCACGGCTATGGCACGATGACTGAATTTCCTGGGAGCAGCTCCAGTCTAAGCATAGGAAACCAAAAGGCACATTTCTTGACATCTCAAAGGACCGTGCACTCTCACTCTGATTCTGTCTGAGTTTCTCTCTCACTCTCTCTCTCTCTCTCTGTCTCTGCACTGCTTGTCTATGGCTGAAGTGCTCTTCCATTCAAGACCTAATCATTTTCTGTGTCTTTGGCCTGTGCTGGTATGAACCCATTCAACTTGGTGCGCTCCATCACGTACTGCGACAGGTTTGTCAGACTGATGTTTCCCTCTTTCTTCTCTCCGTTTTCCTCATGTGGCTCCCCGTCTTCTTCTTCTTCTTCCTCCTCTGTCCTCTCCTCCCCCAGCATGGCGCCGCCACTGTTCATGCCTACACTCGCCCTTCGAACATCTTCGGGAATGTTCCTCCGAAGCTCTCGGTTCTTGTTACGTCTGCCCAGTTTGGTGAGGGATCCGAAGCGTAAGTTGAAGAGATTCTCCTCTGAGGACGATGCTGTCTGCGGCGTCTGCTCGCTGCCCTGATGGTCGTACGGTTCGCAGGCCCCCCTCAGCCTCAGGTTGTTCAGCTTGGTGTCGATGCTCTCCTGGGATGAAGTCTTGAAACGGCCAGCATCCAGGCTGGCGAACATGGCCCGCTTCTCTGGAGACAGCATGTCAAGGGAGTGAGCTCTCTGCTCCAGGCCGAGCTGGCGGCGCTCCATGCTGCGGATGGTGGCGGCCCGCTGGAGCTTGTCATGGATCTCAACACTCAGGCGCCGTCGCGTTTCACGGAACTCTGCTCGTACATTTGCCTTCCATTCAGCTGCATGAGCCTTAAACTCCCCGACCTGTGACAACAGTGGGGAGGAAAGGAAGCAAAGGATCAGGGAGGGATTAGGAGAGGATATTTGGTACAGTCCACAGTGAAACAGTTTGGCTCACAGATGTGTTTTTAATAGTTTTACAACAATGAAGCTCTAAGGCACAGAGTTATAAGCTATATCAGGCTTTTGCAGCACAGACAGTAGGCTACTGGTTAATGAGATAGATTTTGTTGTTTTGGTATTTTCAGAAGATTTGTTGAAAATAAGAAAAATATAGAATATCACCACCCTTATCCTTGTGTTAATTATAAAAAGTTCCATAAAAACCAGATTTCCAAAAACCCTCCACTAAGCTATAGGCTTAGCCCTAGATCATTTTCTAGTCTAGTGGATCAATAAGTCACTGTATGTCATGTCTGAACTTAGTAAAACAGCTACATCTTCAACACCTCAAATAAAAGCCGCCTGCTACCGATCCTGACAAGGTCTAAGCAGCAATTAATGTGCAAAATAAGAGAGCAGACAGAAGGGGCAAGAGAAGTAGCAGCTTAGTGACCTTTCATGTTCTGCCTCTCTAATGTAATACTGAGAGGTGTAATTGAATGAACCCCACCTCCTCTTTGGTCTTTTTAGACAGCACTCGAAGCCAGTCTGAAATCATGCTGAGGACGGCCGCAAAGTACGCCAAACCCACCAAGATCCAGAACCACACCAGCGGCTTGTACCACTGCATGTAGTTGATCCTACGGTTTCCACCTGGAGATGAAGTAAAGATACAGGTTTGGTGAAAAATTTCATGTCATTAAAGTTCAACAAAACAGTGATCTACGTGAGGACAGAACAACCATCTGCTGCATAGCTCTACCTGCCACATAGTCTCCTATTCCCACTGTGGTAAGAGTGATCACTACGAAGTAGATGGCCTCCAGTGTGGTCCAACCCTCGATGTGTTTGAAGATGACGGCTGGGATGGTGACGAAGACAATGCAGCCGGCCAGGATGAACAGGATGGTGGACGTCACTCTGATCTTAGTCTGACTGATCTGTTTGTGTTTTTGCTGAAAAAAAAAAAAAAAAAAAGGACAAGCTGTTAGAATTAACCCAGAAAGTAAAATATCATGTAAGAGTGCCATGGTCTAATAAAACATGACTCAGAAAACAAGTTAGTTAAGGTTTTGGAAAAATACTTGGCCTATTTGAGCTTTTACACTGTTACACTGCTACCCACAAGCAAGAGAACTAAAAGTAAATGCAACACACACATGAAGAAAGAAGTAACGATTCACTGTGATACTTGTAACTCACCCTGAATATCTTCTCGACTCTCAAGATGCTTTTCACAAAGATGGTCCCCAGCTGGTCTCCAATCCCCGCCAACAAGAAGCCAAAGAGAGGAATGCCAAATATGGCATAAAGAATGCAAAAGATTTTCCCGCCTTCCGTGCTTGGAGCTATGTTTCCATAACCTGTCGGAAACAAAGAAAGCACAAAGAGGAAGATAGAGAGAGAAGAAAGAGCAGAAATGAGTTAAGAAGCATGACATTGAGGACATAAAACGAGGATGCGAGGTAAGGCTGAGAAGACGCGGTGGTGGGGAGGTGGCGGGCTATAAACAGTACAATGAGAAGCAGAAGAAGACAATCAAGACTTTCTTATGCAACATAATCAATTGAAGTGCTTATGTAATACCTTTTAGTTCCTGGAGGTAAATAAGCTCCAAGAGAGACAATAATTAGGTTCCCCTCAAAGAAAATTGCATTAATTATGGCCCTACAGTGACAGAGATACAATGGAGAAGCCAGGGAGACAGAGCATAATATTGTACTGTGTCCCAATTCCTCTCATTTCAACCTGTTGAGGCCAAAATATAACTATGTTGCATTTTTACTCCCACTCACACTCATGTTTTCTCACAGAACAAAGTTGTCTCATGAATATGTCACATAGATTTTTATTTAAATTCATTTGAGGATGTCTATTTAATAGAATTTGTATGTACATTTTTTTATTTAATGAAAGATGTCAAGGCTCTTGTATTGTAATGGCTGATATTTCAAAAAAAAAAAAAATCTGGCGAGTGAAGTACATGAATCTACTGAGAGCCTCTTCTCAGCAGCAAATAAGCGAATGCCACAGGTAATTAAATCTCTGGACTACACCATAATAACAGGCCTGTGGCTGTGTGCTTTTCCAGTAATTACAAGGAAGGTACAGTCCGTGCAGCTAATAGAGCGAATAGAATCTTTAACACCTCACTTTGATGTTCAAATTATGGCTCTAGAAAGCAACTTTTTTTTTTGTAAATGGTTGCATTTGATCAAAGCTTCCAGGCAGCAAAAGGGTTTTCACATTCATTTTAAAAAAGAATTGTGATCAATTACAAACTGTCTTCATGTTTATCTTATAAAATCAAGAAAGCATTAAAAAAAAAAAAACAATTAGAAACAGCGTGATATAAAATAAAGCCACATTGTCTCTGTCAGCAGTGCCTGTGTTGTAAGCTTCCTCGATAATGTTGATTGTCACAGGTTGTTAAATTCCACAGTGCTTGTGCTTTGCCTCATTTAGCACCAGCTCATGAGGGCGAAAGGGATTTGTATAACTCACCTGAGGGCAGCAATAAGAAGCAATCATTTGCACAGCTTTGTAGAGATTTGAAATGAGACAACATCTTTATCAAACTGAAAGCACAAATCTGATATAAAATGCTTCAACACCTTTAAAAATGAATTATTGCAAATTAGTCTTGCGTTTACAGGCTCATATTGTTGTTTGATGGAACATTTTTGTGCTGCCAGGTTGGATGTTTTTTTATTTTATTTCATGGAGGCTCAAAGTGTTCTATATTATAAAATATCACACATATGAACAAAATTCAAATTCAAAACTTATTTTAAATTGTGAAATAGAATCCAGTGAATAATTACGTCAAATATATTAATGAAACACTAATAAAAAAATACATTTTAAAACTCAACTTATGATTATGAAATATTACTTGAGCATTCTTATTTACATTTTATTTATTTTTATTAATATGTGTATTTAATGAAAAAGCATCATGAAATAAAACTGTCACTGAGGAGAAAAAATAAAAATACAAAATAATACAAAATAAAAGTATAAAAAAATTCATCGACTTCAACTCAACTGTTATTATGAAAATATAAATCATGAAATTTAATTTGATACATCATATTGCATTTCTTTTTTTTTCTTAAGTGTATAAGTGTGTAATTCTGAGAATCTGAAAAAACGAATACAAGTTGAAGGTAATGGGGTTGAAGTGTGCTAAAAAGTTGTTGAAATGTCCATTGTATTGATTGTCAGCAATAGCAGATTATAAGGATTTTAAACTTACCTATGGTTGTGATGACAGTTCCAGCGAAGAAGAAGGCACTGCCCAGGTCCCAGTTACTGGAATTGTAGGTCATGTCTCCAATAGGCCTCACTCCTGCACACACAGCATCTATGGCATGCTGGAAAGAGGATGATTTATAATTCATAAAGATGATACGTGCAGGTATGTTAAGCTGAGATATCCAGATGAATGCAACCTTAGAAACAAAGTGTAAAAGTTAAAAACTTAGGAGCACCTAACTTACATTTTGCCCATTAAATTCTTATAAACAGAGAAATTCAGATTCATGATTGCATGCCAGCTCAGCTGATGCCAACACAACAAACACTCGACATGTCTGCTTTGTTTCATTATATAAAGTCCTGATGGTGTGAAGAGAGTGAGAACATTAACCCACCTCCTGCCAATGTTTATGTATTTCTGTGTACATGTGTCTCTCATGTGTGTTTGTGTTTGTGTGTGCATGTGTGACCTGTGCCACTGATTGTGTAACACTGAACTTAAGATAGATCGGGAGTGCCTGTCTCTAGCTCACTACCTGATGAAAGAGATAAGACAGTGAGACAGGAAAGTCTGTCGGAAAGCTCCTGAAAAATGGGGGAGGGGGATGAAAGACAGATGGAGAATTGAATCATTCCTATACCCATGTTGTAATACTTTAATAACACAGGAAGTGGAGCTAAGTAGATTTACTTACAATTAATTCAATCGGTCCAATTGTACCTCACAGTGGAATTGTATGACAATAATGTGACCATATTGTAGTTCTGTGATACAAAATGCTAAAGAAATTATTTTCAAGCAATGTATAATAACAAAATAAGCATTGCACTGAACACTAATTTGATTATTTACTCTATACTTTATTTTACTGCATACATTTATAATAGTTCTAGCTCCTTTGCCCTGCCCTAAGTAATCCCAACCTTTTTGATATGCAAGCTCTCAGAACAAAGCAGTCTACTTTTGTCACTAAATGGAAATATCTACTGGTGGTGACCATTTCAAACAATGGAGTGATTTTGCTTGCTTTATTTGAGTGTTAAAGATGTAAAACTACTCAGTGATTCATTAGTAAAAGTGCAAAAATTCAAGTAAAGGAGAAAAAAATGAGCATAACTTTGTGTAGCACAAATCTTTGCGACCTCTTGTGGGGGTCCCGACTCCCATGTTGGGAACCACTATCCTAGAGCCTGAGCTTTTGTATCTATTCATGAAAACATCCCCTGACTAAAATAAATATTATGCAAGAAAATTTTTGACTGAAAGTATTCTGCAATGACAGTTATGTAGCATGTCAATATATAAAAGCATTCCACAATGACTCTTTTACGATTCCTGTGGATTTACAGTACGCATGCAAAACAAACATCTAGCATAAGATCTGTTCAAATTATTCAGTGTTTGGCTCTTCATGTGACACTGTTTCTCTTCTCTACCCAATTTGCATGTTTTTACAGTTCACACTGACTAAACAGACTTTCACATGCAGCAGAAAGACCTTTATCTCCTTTTTTCAGTGTCAGCCTTTTTCTTTAGTCCCTCAGCTCTTCTTTATCCCCAGCTTGTCTAGTGTCTGGAAAACATTAAGAAGCCACAATGCTCTGCATTTACTGCATCATTATTCTCATTAATCTCCTCCTGTGCTCCATTATGTAGGCGTGAAATGTTAATCTACTATCTTGTTTTTCTGTGTAAACTCCCAGTTTATGGCTATTTTATGAGAAAAGCATTTATTTTCTAATCTCTATGGAAATGTTTAGTTTTCGCCTCTGGGCTCGAATAAGCATCACCTCTGCTAACATGAAAGTCACTGTGAGGGATTTCTTTTCATAAGAAATAGCTTCACTGCATTTACCAACATTCCTCGTGGGATATCATCTACACAGCAACCCCACCCCCCCCCAATCCATCCATCCATACAAGCTGTTAGTGAGATGCACGTCCATGTAATAAAATATGTATCAACTCTCGTGACATACATTTCAAAGCAGACAGAGTGGAGGACCACTTCAACACACATCGCTGCACATGCCTACTCATAATCTTGCTTGTGATTACCTCAGCTCCATCAGCACAGCCCCCCTAATGAGACTGATTTCTGTACCTAAAATTAGCCAATTACAGTAATGCTATTTCATAGGTTTTAGCAGACACAGCTACTTTATTGGGGCAATATCAAAGTGGTAATTATATAATAAACCCCAAATAACCTAATTCTGGACTCAAGAGGGAGCTATAAATAGCCTCACAATGTATCTGAATACTTTATGAGAAGGTCTATTTTTGTCTCTCGTCTTTTTCACAGCCAAGTTCACGCTGCATTAGAGATGGGGAAAATCCTCCTTTGGCACGTGCACTTTTGAGGCATGAGGATGATAACGTTGATTTATTTTGCAGGGTGTTAATTAGGACGACAAATGGGGCTTTTGGTTTCACACATCCTGCTCTCTTCTATTTTGGTTGTGCAGAGGACTCAGCACACCGACACTCTTAAATACATCCAGTCACCACCAAGCGCTCATGACGGGCTCTGGGCTAATGTGTTTTCATATTCTCCACTGCAGGATCATTAGAGAGCACACGAACCCACTGCAGATCTTTATCCTCTCAGTGTGTCTCTCTAGCCCACAGCAGGTGACGGCAGTGATCCAGCCAGCATGGTGCCTCACTCTCTCCTTCACTCTCAGTGCCAAGCACTCTCCTCTGCAGCACTTTTACCATCACTAATATCTACATCTCTACACTGACCACCTTGAAGCATTATGGCTGCACAAATGACTGCCAAACAGGATGACTGAGGTCGGTTGTAGATGGGGCTTGTATGAATCTATAATAGAGTAATTGCAGTAAAGTAATTGAGTAAATGCATTTTGTTATATATCCCACCACTGCATATACATTATCTTACATTGAAGCATTTGAAGACCCAGGAGAAAAGACGTAGCTTTGGTCTCAACATTGGTAGGGATGCAACAACCCCGCCCACCCATCCAAGACTTTTTGATGCTGTCAACCAAATGGTTTATTAACATATTATGCAATACAGACGCTAGTTACTTTATCTTAGCAGTTAGCGCTAGCTTCTCTCTCTCTTTCTCTCTCTGTGTCTTGGATCAACAGATTAACTTGCTTATCATAGGCTATTACCTGTGATGTCTAACCAATCAGATCATGCTGTGGGCGGGACATTGCTCCAGACCTCAGAGTAGAAACTACAGATTAGAGACAGGAGGCTGCATCAGAACCAAAGTTGCGCATTTTAAAATTAATTTATTTAATCGAATATCGGTTAAAAAAATACTATGCCCATGCCTAGAGTCAGAATGATTTAATATGACTTCTCTCCAAACATAGTGTGAGCAAGTTCACTCAAATATTGGTAGGGACAATTCTATCCTGCCAAAACATTGGTAGGGGCATGTCCCTACCGTCCATACGCAAATCTACGCCCTTGCCCAGGAGTCTATAGGAACTTAAGATTGATGTTGACTTTTAGAGTATTTCCATAAGTTGGTGAATGTTTTGCAGACACCTGAGCATTTTGATAAAGAGCCTTTGAAAGTAGTTCTCACAAACAACGATAAATCCATATTTTATAAAACTTTTTTTTTTCAAATCAACAGAAACTCATGTAATTGGTGCTATTAAAAAAAATCATGATGGTGTTGGTTGGTACTTTTACTGCAGGTATCTCAGTGTGTATGAAAGTTTATTTGTAGGTAAGTGACTCATCAATAAATGAGCCTTGACTGGTGTCAATAACAGCGAGGCTTCACATAGTGCCACAGTGTGAGTCATCCCAACAGAGCTGGGGAAGCCAATTAGGTCTGCTGTCTTTGTGGGCGCACAGTGGGTAGGTGGACAGCACAGATACTGAAGTAGACATGAACAGGTCAACAGACACATCAAGTCAGCACATACTGTGGAGCAAACCTTAGTTTGCTCCACAGTATGTGCCCGCTCTCTAATACATCGTCTCCTTTCGTCTCACGCACCCACACAGGCTGCATACATACATATATATATATATATATATATATACACACACACACACACACACACACACACACGCTTCCTGAGGTTGCCATTTTTCTGTCAACTCCTCCGCCAAACAGTTTGACAACTGTGAGTCACCACTGCTGTGTCCCCATGGAGGTTCGTCGGCTGAGCGACAGGCTTGACACAGCACGAACAGACCGATAGCGGAACCTGTTAGAGGACCAGACAGACTCTTTGATGGAGTACTTGTGAAGCAGTGTGTCCTGAAGGCCTTTTCTTGAGACAGCAGAAACAAATTGCCAGTGTGAGCTTCACACATGGCTTGATATTTGTTCTTTTTTAAGGCTGAAGTACGATCATAACTCAGTGGCGTGATGATTTCTGATTTCAAGAAACTGTTTGACAGAGAGTAAGCTGAGGAGCCACTCTCATATCTGTATGGTAAATATGAAGCTACACACAGTAGCCAGTAGCTTAGTTTAGCATAAAGGCTGGAACAGACTGGAGTTTTAGAGCTGCTAGTAGGCAGATTTTGTTACCTTTGGACAGAGCCAGACTATTGTTTCCAGTCTTTATGTTAAGCTAAGTTATTTAGCTACCGACAGTTGCTTGAAATCTACCATATAGGAGTTCTATCAGTCTTCTTTGCAGAAAACCAATGAAAAATGTAAATAAATAAACATTTTAATACCTTAAATTTGTCAGGTGTAATATAGAGTCCTGGGAAATGTTATACAGGCAAATAGCCACTGAGCTTTCAGTTCCTTGTGAGACATAGGTTATCTCATGTATCTGAATCTGATCATTTGTCCAGTTGACAATCTTGTCTATGATGTGGTTGTTGCTACTAGCGCTGCTGCTTTGGGCAGCAGGAGGTCTGTGACTGCTGGCCTGTGCAATGAATAATTGATTCCCTCCGGACCCCAGGCACACCATGCTAAAGGTTTTTATTTCCACACTTCTCCTTAGGAAACACTGTCATTGATTTTTTTTTTTTACAAACTCATGATAGCACTTTTGTGGCTCAGAGGTTAACAGAAGAAGAAGAAAAGGATGGTTCTCTGGGAAAGAATAAATGAAGAGAGGTGGGTGTGGAGGAGGAGGGAGAGACAGATAGGCAGTCCAATATTCACTGGAGCAGTGTTGAAGACGCTAACATCAAATGGAGCCATTCTAGCGGAAAGTGGAGCACACCAAATGCCATGTGGTTGGTTCTCTCTTTGGGGTTATTTCAAGCTTAGGAGAATCAGATGGGTCCACTGTGGCACTAACATGAAATTTGTGTTTACTTTTCTCAGACTACATGAAAAAACATGGAAAGTACATTACTCCAAAATGCTCTGCTCTGGCATCTGTATGACATGCTATGATTTTGCTACAAATATGAACTGTTCACAGTGCTTTCCAGCAGGATCTACAGTATTTCCATACGATTTCTGTGGGTTACTACTAATTGTGTTCTTGGTAAAATAGATTTCACATTTGCCCTTTGGACCTTATGTTACAAACTCTACTCTCCAAGCAAGATAGTCGCCCACATTCACACACATAGTCCTTCTTTTTTTCTTGTTGAACATCTTCTGCAGAGTCTGTCTATATGAGAGCTTGACTGATCTTAGTCCCACTGCACCCCCCCACCCCACCCCACACACACACACACCACTACTACCACCACCACAAATCAAACTTTCCACTCAGCCAACTGCACGCCGACACATCTCAAATCATTTTCCAATCCCGCTTCCAGTTGTGCATGTCAGCTAGATGCAGTGACCTTAAATCTCGCCCCATAATTCTGGGTGTAATATCAGAGCGCAGTATGAAGCATTGTCATACTCTGTGATTAAGCAGCTGACACTGTAAAAAGACATTGTAAAATGAACAGTTAAGTTATGATGGGATTTTTTTTTATTTTTTAACATGCTTCAGGTCAGCCTAAATCAAACTGTACAACAGGCTGTTTTATAAAGGCTCAGACGTAAGAGATCTGCCACTAAATGATTAATTCTTATACATGCTATAATTCATTTTATGGTCAGACAGTTTCATTTTGAGTCACTCAGATCCTCAAATCTCCCCGAATCTTTCAAATCATTCTTGTTAAAGTAGAAGATACATCACACACAGTTTTGATAGAAAACACTGAAACACTTGGCTTCAGATGTTACAGTAAAGAACTATGCCGTTGTGGCTGTGAGCTAGTTTCCTTTTTCAAACTGTGTGGGTGTTGTTAAAGCCTCACTCTGGAATTTCATACACTTATTATTGAGGGCATAAGGCATTCAGATACAAGTTAGTTATGAAATCTATTTATCATAACAACCCACTATTCTATTCTAACAAAAAATGTCTCTCTTGATTACTACTATTACAATACTGTTTGCACATGAACTGCAGCGTAAAAGGTCACATTGACTGACCTCAGTTTCTGAGGATAATCATAGGATGCAAGCAAATTATTTCCCCTTTTATCCATGATTACTTTTATGTAATGTTCTGTAATATAAAACTGCATGTACTGTACAGTGTATTTGCCAACAGACGCAAAGTGTCACTGAGAATTACGAATATCTCCGTGGTAAACAACCCTGAAGGCATTACTGTGCTTCCTGCTAAAGGATGGACCTGCCTCTAAGTCTGCTCATGACATTTACCCATCAACCGCCAACCAACCAGGGGGCAGAGAGGAGAGGGGGGGTATATTCTGATGGTGCTTCAGACTCTGTATAATCCATTTATTGACTCTTCAACACAACGTGAAGAAAACCAATGAAAATGCTATTGGAAATCCATATAAATTAGCATGATTATAACTGCTATGGCAACACAGCTTTATTGAAAACATTGTGAGCTCACTGTAACCCTTAACAGTGGGTGCCTTCAATTTAGCGAGAGGACAGAGCGTACTTCTGCGGCGAATTCAACCCACCCACTTGCACCCACTATATTTAAGTAGCAACAACAATCTAAACTGGGGCTGACAATCATTTCTTAAACTTTCAGCAGAGCTAGAATGAAATGAAAGCAACAAGTACAGATAAGAAATGCCTTGATCTGAAGCCAACAAAAACATCTAAAAAGATAATGTTCAGGCACCTGTCTCTGTAGCAACAACAGCTAAACTGCTCCAACTTAATCATCTATACAGTCTGTAACTGATGTCTGAAGACATAAATGCAAATGCATGAGGAAGAAGTCGGTAAATGTAACAGTACACTTACTGACTTCCTCAGTACAGTAAATGTGACAAAAATGGTCTCAACTCAAAGCTCCACTTATTGGTTCTTTTCTGAGTTTCAGCTGTATCTGATTATCTTCATTCATGAATGGAACGGGCCAATGAAGGCCATGAGATGTGAATGAAAGCTCCGTAGAAGCCAGGAGGCTTGTTTGTGATGAATGCAGATGATATTTGAAATCTCACCTGCTCTGAATTAGTCCATTGAGTCAATCTTTTTTATTCAGTATCAAAATAGATTGTTATTTAGCCGCTGAAAGCAAAATGACGCATGACGTTACATCAGCATGTTTTACCTACACGTGAGCAGTTATTCTGAAAATGTAGCAGCAGTTTTAAAGGTTGGAATTAAAAGCTTCATTTGCTGAAGGACAGTGTGGACATGAAAGGGAATAGCATCCAACCTTTTCAAGCTCATGTGATTAGCTAATGAAACCAGAATTAATTACCCTGAGAACCCCTAATTACCCCGGATAGCAATCACCATCTATAAAACTGCTGCTCTAAAGGTCAGTCTCTGACTTTCATCTTTTTATCTACCGATCAAATTGAATGACACTCAGTATTATTTATAAGATAATTTTCATTTAATTTTTCTTATCTTCATGTCCCCTTGCACACTAATCTGTTGGTGATGAATATATGCAACAAATGCTATGCATTATTCCAAGTCTGTCTGAGTAGCTGGAAGAAAATGACTCTATTTAAAGTCTGTTAAACAGGAACAACAAAACCTCATCTCCACTTTCAAGCACTCACCTTGATTAGCTCCTCCAGCTCGTCAGAAGTAATGCAGGGGTGTCTCTCCAGGAACGAGGCCTTCTCTAGGGTGATGCTGGTCTTCTGGTTGCTCTCGAATGGCATCTCCAGCGCCCTGAATGCTAGACCTCCACAAATCAGGTAGAGAACAACCACGATGAACACTGCCAGCACTGTCTTCCACTTCATCACCGAGTGGAGGGCTGCAGCCGCGCCGTCACAGCTGGCATCCATGCTGGCCACCACGCTGGCAGAGCGGGAGGAGATGGACAGACGTGGCAGCGGACAGTGACCGTTGGCTTTTGGGTCACAGCCCATTGGGTTCTGCATGGTGGCAACGCTAGCCTGGACTAGAGTCGACTTCACCATGCCAGGCTGGACCTTTTTGGGAGGGACCAAGTTGGTCTGGACCGCCACTGGATAAGAGTGAGAGGAAGGACAAAACTGGATTAATATATTTTTTGTTGACCTGTGTTAGACAGGGACAGTAATTCTTTTTTTTTTGTGAAAATGATTCTGATGATTTCAGATTAATAAACTTTGGTGGACTGGTCTAATAAATGGCTCAAGGCCCAGAATCTGTTATAGACTGGATAAGAAAAATGTGCTGACAGGCAAATGAGAAGGCAGGGTTTGAGGCTTTGTAAGTGAGTTTGAAATGATAACACAGGGCATTTCCAGTGTTTGTATGTTTGTCCCTTGTCCTCATCTGTGATAACTAATCTGTTAATAATAAAAAAAATTGTAATTAGTACATGGAATGAGTCTCACACCTTTCAGCTTCCTTAATGCAGACATAAACATAAGATCATTACAACTATTGAAATCCTACAACCTTCTGTGAGATGCATTAAAAAGCAATTTCCCTGTATTACTGTGGGCTAATAAAGGCTTTCTGCAAAGCTGACACTGAAAGCTACAGCTGTGCCAAAGCCAGACCACAGGAAGACTCTCTGTTGCCTCGACAGCTTTCCATCCAGAGAATTTGATCAGGGTTTCACACATAAAAGCCATTAGTCCTGTGAAATGGAGCCTCAGCAGTCCACAACCACTGCTTTTATTACTAATGCAGAAAACTTCATTATTAATTTAATGTGATAAATGCAAAACCTAGAAAAACATCCAGAATTAATTTACTGTCTGAATATTAGATGGGTGTACAGTGTGTAACTCATATATCTCATAAAATGAGAAAAGCATTCAAATTTTCAAAAGACACACCACATGCACCTGAACCTTTTCAGCGCTGTTAGGTACAGGTGAAAACTGACTTACCCTCTTTGCTGGGAGGCAGGATTCAATTTTTCTAATAGACTATAAGAGAGGGGTAAGTGCCACTTTCAGTCATTGGCTTTGGCATGGGTTTTATAATAAATGCAAGGTCAACCATGAGGCAAGCAGCACCAAGGAGGCAGTCAAATTTAGATTCCTTTAATGTATATAAGGCATTGTATAAGCTATTCAGCGGCCTTCACCCCTAACAGCCCCCACCTGGCTCAGATTGGAGAGCATGGAGAGCCCCAGAGCCATGGGCGGAGCCTGTTGTCTACAATGATGCAACTCTTGAAGGAAGGAATAAGAAATTGATTTGTTTATGGGAGGTACTCTTTTGTTTAATGGGATAGTTTCACTTATGGGATATACTAAGCAAAATGTTTACACACACACACACACACACATCCTTGTCTTACTATATTTGTGGCGACTCTGTGCATTCCCTAGCCCCTTACCCTGACCTTAACCATCACAACTGAATGCCTAACCCCACCCCTTATTCTAACCCTAACCTAAACCTAGTTCTAAGCCTAACCATAAAATAAAGACTTAACCACCAAACACACATTTAAACTTGTGGGGTCCCACATTTTGGTCCGCATAAATCTGTCCGACCCCACAAGTATAGTAGGCTCCTGATTTTTTGACCCCATGAATATAGTAAAACTCACGTCACACACAAACACATGCACACCCTGACGTGATGAGTCAAGGACATCCAGGAAGTGTCTCATTCTTTGGTCCAAGAGCTATGAATCTTGTTAGTTAATCCCTGTGTCATGAGTCAATAACAGCAAAGTGATGTCACAAGCTCGGGAAGGTGCAAAACTGCCGCTTTCAATTTACAGTATGTGCCCTTTAAGGGCGGTGGCTGGCTATTTTTAGAACATGAGATGAATTAGAAAATTAAGACTGAGTGGTGAAGCAGCAAAAAGACTATGACCCAACATTAATATCTCATGCTGTATTTGGTGCAGTCACTTTGATGGATGCAGTAGAACATTTATCAGTAGATTAATTGTAAATTGGACCAAATCCATAACTAGTTTTACTATGACATTAATTGCTTTTCATCTCATCTTGTGAGTGAGTGAAACTGAATAAATTAGCTCGGTGCAGTGGAGTAGAAGCAGCTAGGGCAGTTCAGAAAACTGTTTCTCACATATTTAAGTGATCGAAAAACAATTATGAGAAAATATAGGTCTAAAATTTATATTTTAAACCATATAGGCAGAACCAAAACTGCGATGACCATAATTTGGTTTGCCTTTCAAATTTCTGAGGCTGTGTGGCATTAATCTAAAATCTTTTTCAAACCACTGAAGCTGCTTCACATTGATTTTAACAAATTAAATAAGGCCTGAGTGGAAAGCAGTTTTATCTGATATTATCTGATACTATCTCTCAGCCTTCGCTCTCTGCTTCCAACATGTCTGGCCAAAGCAGAGGATATGCCCACTGGAGAGTCAGGTCAGGTCAGTGAGTGAGATGTTACTCAATTCAGCCACAGAAAGAATGGAAAACAAATGTGACGATGAGGTTTTTAATGATGGCACCTGTCAGACCACACAGTTTACTCTGTCAGGTTCATACTATGGGGGGAAACAAAATAATTATTTAGCCTATTCACTGATGGACTAAAGAAATTCAAAACTAAGTCAAGTTATAGTAAGCATGGAGGCAAATTTTGGGTTGGCTCAGGTCGGCTCTCAGCCCAGTTATTCCCTGTGGTACTAAACAGGTTGCAGGCGTTTAACTCACCAGCTGAGCCTCAAACACAAGCGTCAAGCATGACTGACTAACACAGGAAGCTCTGAGAGTTCCGGTAAAAAACAGAATTCAGAATAAAACCAGTAGGAAGTTGCAAAGATGAGTCTATGTTTCAGTCTACCTGTATGTCAGAAAGGTTACAGACAACAGTTCAATGGAGACTGAAGACAAAGCAAACTCCCTTATGTTTTCTGGAAAGAATATATTAAAAAAATGTTCACCTTAGCGTGAACAGGGGAGGAGTCATAGCCTATTTTTTAATCGTCATTAAGCCAAGTCTCTGAAAATAACTAATCTCTGGTAGGTATAGTTGGAAATGTATACCTTTGTGTAGAGGATTTCACAAAGGTACAAGTCCTTTAGACAACGTTACTTCTTAGGGAACAACTTTACATGCGATAATTTATTTCAACAGCGTTTCCGGTCTAATGCTGGCTGTTTCTGCCAACTTGACGCCGCTGATGCTCAGCTCCCAGCAGCGCTGCCTCGCACAGCTGAGCACACGGAGGATGGAGAATAAAGACATAGGCAACTCCCAGTCGCTTTGTCTTACGTTAAGGTCCGTTTTGCATTACAGACATATAAAGATATGAGAAAATTCTAGGTGAAATAGACAAAATCATGAATCATAAATTACGTAAAGCTAATGAAAACTGTTTCAAACTGGTCAATAATTTAGCCTGATGCGATTTATTGTGTCTCAGGTTTCTCCATGAGATGTTGCTGATATTAAGAGTACTATTAAATGGACATATATCTAAAGTTATCTGGCAATAATAAAGCAGGATTTACCAACCTTGCTCGGGGTCCCAGTTAACTTGTTTTCTCGGGTTTTCTATTGGAAATTTCATCTCTGTTTTTGTTCTTAATCAAAACGCAAGGAAATGTGTTCAGTGCGAATGTAAAAATAAATAAATAAATAAAATAAATAAAGCCAAATCACGATGAATTCTTCTCCCACATCTTCACATCATCTTTTCGTGGATGTGGGTGAAATTTGTACAGAGGAACGAACGCATCGCAAAACCGCATTGTCTGCTTCTGCTGTTTCTCTCCCCCCACCTTCTTTTTTTCTCCACCTCGCTCGGACGCGTGGTGATCGTCTGACAGACCGAGATACTTGTGAGACCTTTCACTGAGCTGTCGCAACGCTCGGAGGACAAAACCACATCCCATCTCACTCTCAAAACACACGGTAACCAGTGGTCCTGTCCAGAAACAAAACCGGAGCGTGTCCAAACCAGCAACTTTACGCACGCGTTTACGCCGGCAGCAAGAACAACGAGAATGGATGCTCTCCTCCCTTTCATTCCCAGAGCACACTACTCCACCTGCCTTTATTGTGATGAGCTAAATTAAATTTGCTTCGAGCTTCGCATCGTCTACATTCGTAACGCATTTGTTTCATCCGTTAATGAATACTTACTCTTATGGTTTTCCTCCAAAGCAGGATTATCTTCTCATCGTTTGGCAACCGGCGATTGAGCACATGGCGCGGGGCGGGAAGTCAGAGATGTACCCCCAAATCAGCGGCAGACTCAAACCATTACATCATTCACATGTATGGGAAACGGTGCATTATTTATGACCTCCCATAGCCAAAGACAAGTCACCTCTTCCATCACGTCAGACCTCCTAAATCTGAACTCAGTCAGATGATGAGGTGCATGCTGACAATGGGGGGCAATTTCTGGACAGGTGAAACTGAGCTGTCTAATGAAATATTAAGTGCAGAATATCTATGTGTAACTGCACTTTTGTTTAGATTTTAGGATGATTATGTGGCCAGAAGATCCAACATTAGATTTTCAGGTTATATTTAAAGGACCTGCTCTTGCTGACCACTTGTCTTTGTTTTTGTCCATTCATCCTCATCCATGCATTATTTACATGCATTAGCTGAATGAGTTTTCTACCCACCCTCCAGGCAGGCATTGGTTACCATTCATTTCAAAACGGGATTAATTCATTCATTTGCAGACCTGCAACTTTAGTTAACAATTCAAATTAATTTATTACTATTACTATCATTAATAATAACAATTATTATTATTATTATTAATAATAATAATGTCTAAAAGTTGAAAATGTTTTCCTTGATTTCTTTTTTGTCGAAGTTAGTCTGTTATGTTACTACTGATTTTTAAGACACTGATGGAGTAGCAAAGTAAAACACATAATGATCCTTATGGATCAGTATTCACAACAAAAGCTACGAATGACTGCAAAAGAAGGCCCAACTTGTGCTTTACCTGCAATCATAAGTCAAAATGTCTGCTGTGAAAAAGACAAATGAATCTGGAGAATTTGGGAATTATCAGGAAACAAGACCAAAGTTCAGGTTACTGAGAAATGTAATAGGCCAGATGGACGAGATGCAATTATTTCTCTGTCCTGTGGCCACATGATGTTAAAGCAACCTTACATTGCTAATTGAAAACTTTGATTTAAGCATAAGAAAAATTTGCATTTTGAGTATTTCTTAACTTATCGAAGTTAAAAATATAGCCCTGTTTTGCTCTGTGTCTACATGATAACTCCACTGGTGTTAAAAAGTAACATTGATAATGTTAATGTCTTTCAATTTTTGGGTGGGGCATGATGTATTAAAAGATCCATTTACATTGTCTTTTTAGCTGATATTAAAATAAAGGGGAAAATGAAAAAATACTACATAAAGCATGTGTTGGTTTGTTTTTAAGACTAATGATGCTGGTCGAAAAATCTGTTTCACATGTTGCCACTGCTATTAAGTCATTCACAATCCTTTGTTGGCAAATGACGTGAGGGGTTAAAAGGTCTATGAAACAATACAAGGAACCTGGCAGAATTAACAATATGCTGCTGACAGAATGTTCTCATGAGCAACATATACTCGGTATAATCAGATTTTCTATTTGTTGCACTGCATTGGTCAGTTTTTAACACTGACACATTACCGTAAATGAGGCCACTGATGGTTGTGGTTTTCATAATGGCACACCATGGTCACTTCATGTTGCTGTAATAAACAAGATAGGCTACCAGCCATCTCATGATTATTCATGAACTGGTAAGGATTTAGGACTGTGGGGAGGGTGAATGGCACAGAACTTGAATAAATAATCCCAATTTTTGCTCTTTCAGTCTTAATAGCAACATGAACAACCACAGAATGCTGTTTCAGTCAGAGTTTGGGTTAGAAAGTGAGTGGCTGAAATGTCATACATTAACCTCAACCACCAGTGGCATAGTGCAGATTACACTGTTTATACAGTAGGCTACAGCCAATTTTTGCCAAAGACTTTTTTGACATATAACAGCAGGTAAAGCGCAGGTGTCAATAATGAAATTAACAATAGGTGGATTCTAGTAAGCTGCTTGAATAGAAACACTTGCATGGAGAGGAGCCATCGTTATGTTATCAGTAGCACCTGTGCTTTTCACACCATACCAAGTCAAAATATCTGTTGGGAAAATCATTTACCTCTCAAACACCTGTGATGAATAGTAAAGTCTCCAGCACTCATTGGAGAAATGTAACACCTTGAGTTACCTCTACAAAATTACAATATATCCCATCTTCTAATGACAACATAAAGTCACAGTCATAGTTCTTCTAAGGTCTCCTCTGAAATCAAAATAACAACACTATTAGGAAGACATTTGGACAGAATTCAGTGCAGATACAGGGGCATGCTAATGCTGTTCTTAATTGTCAGGCACAGGAGCCCCAGTGCACATGTCACTGTATTTTATGACCGTTGAGGACAATATAGGCTGGCTTTTCCTGCAGTTTACGGGTTTCACACTGGCTCCACTTGCATCATCCTGTTTGTCTGATGAACAGTGGCTCCAAAAATATCATGTCCACACCCAGAAATGTTAAGACACAAATATTCATGGGGGATTTTAGTCATTTTCATTCTGCTGTTTTTAGCATATACGCTGTAGGCTATACTATGACCTCAGTACCATTGACAATGGATCTACAATTTGGATTTGGAAATAAAGGTAAATAACGTCATCTATTGCATGACATATATATGTAATTATTATACTAATTGATATACTAATTATTAAAGAATATTTGTGTCAGGTGTGTGTCTTTGTCTATGCGTATGGGTGTGGGTGGTGTGGGGCGTGTCCTCCCTTACGCATTAGCGTGATGACGACGTCTATCGTAGCAACCAGCATGGCGACGGGGAAGCTTTGCTTGGCCCCTCATCTGCTTATAAGATAGTATTAGGATGTTACCATTACGTTGGTTGATTATACTACACCGTTAAAATGTTTACAGTTAAGTACACTGTCGTTTCTGCATGTATCCAAGCTCTGCAGTCGCTGTCCCGGAATATTTTCGGGGGAAATTGGGATACGTTGAGTGTAACATCATGGAATCGAGAATAGGTATGTAAATACTTTTAGCATTAGCTAGCTATCTGGCTAGCTAATCAGCAGAGGGAATCAAATTCAATTTGTGCTTAGGCAGCCAACTAAAGATAAACTCATGCTGACTGTGTGGCCTCAAGTTAATCTAGACAATGGGTAGCCCTTAACTCACACTGCGTCCTCTCGAAACTTAAAATTGAAATCCAAAACCAAGTTAGCTTAATATGCTTCACTTAACTTAGCCAGCTAATGTGTGGTTACGTTATTTTTGGTTCTTGAGGTTGAAGACGATATTTCAGCTGTTTTCGTCGTCTGTCGAAAACAATGTTTATTATTTTCATACTATAAGTGTTTACAGCACCGTATTACCCGCTATTACTGCATTCCCGAACTTTACTAACAACAAAAATAAAATAAAAAAGACTCAAGTAATAGTAACACTGGCCAACTTTAAAGCTGAATTTGAAAAAAATGAGAATAACTTATTTATTATATGCATCAAATTACTGCAACTTACCTTGGAAAATAATAACTCACATACTGCTAATAATAACATACCAGGCCTAGAACAGAAATGTACAAAATAAATAATATATTCCCCCACTAAAAGACGTGTTCGTGTTAACGTTCATGTTTGTTTAGTCAATAAATGTTAAATAATGATAATGATAATAAATAATGACACATTCCCGTCAAAAGTTGTCAAAGCCTAAAGTGATGTTTTAAGATTACTTGTTCTTTCTGACCAACATTCAAAAACCCCAAAGGTATTCAGTTTACAATGATATAAAGCATAAAACCAGTAAATCATCACATTTGAAAATCTGTATGCACCTAATAGTTGGTATTTTATCATGCTTGATTAATAACTTTAATGTTTCATCATTTACTAAAACTTTATTAAAACTGTCACAGATAAACCATCAATCTACAAATCTTTAGATTGTCAACAGGTCCATGTCCATCTATGTTAATTTTAGGGAGTGTGTCATCTGGACTGGGGTGCAGTGCTGGTATGAGAGGACAGACCTCGAAAAGTAGCCGTAAGTATCAATATGCACTTAAAGTCAAGTGAAGTCAAGTATTGGTCATTTGTAAGATATGACCTTCATTTTATATCGTACTGTATGTTGTTCTCTGTCTTGTGTTTTTAGCTTTCTGCCCTCGCTCCTCCAGCAAGTTGACACAATCCATCATTAAAGATCACATGGTGTCTCATTACAAAAAGGTTTACTCAGCTAAAGGTGAGCCACATGGCAGGAATATATTATGATCCTTACGATGATATTCAGTAGACCAAATCAATTCGGCTCCTGCATACACAATATGCTATATGCAATATAGCATGCAATATATGTTGATGTGGTTTAAACATGTATCTCTGTTGCATAATAATTATATTAATAATAATCTGTTGTGATAATTTTATAATATTATAATTTTACATTTGTTTCCTTCTTCCACAGCTGCCATTGATGCCTCAGTACCCAAAAGCATGATACATAGTGTAAAGTGTAAGTACCTTACATTTCTGGGCTAAATCTTTTTAGGTAATATAATTTAGCACAATCACAATGGTGTTTAGTTTAAATGCTTTGCAGGTGTCTCTATGAAACAGCTTTTGCTGTCTCTATGGTAATCAGAATCAAATGCCAACATTGTCTTTCTGAACTCATCTCGTTTCACCAGTGCTCAGTAGTTCAGGAAGACATGCATCATCGTACAGGAAAAGACTAGGTGCTGCGTTGACAGCAGTCTCAATAAGAAATAATACAACGCAGCCAGTCATCACATTTGAGTACAGGATGCAACTCATCCTCATCGCTAATGGTTACAGTTATGCTCTCATCTTATTACTATGCTATACTGACTCTCACATACTTCACAGTTAAGTTAAGTGCAGAGTCCTTGCCCATTCTCTTGGGGCTACCCAAAGTCAGTCTAAGAAATGAGGTCAATAAAAAGGTTGGATAAGGCGATATGATTAACATAAATGTAAATTACAGCATTTTTTTTTTTACAGAATAATCATTTGGATGTATTGAACATCAGATCACATAACAGTGTTATATTATCAATGGGTTGCTATATCTTTTTAAAAACACATATGACATTGTAAGAATCTGCTTTGCTGTCAGTGATAGACTGCAGAATAGACTAACTTCTGCACTTATTCAGTATTTCATACCTGCTTACAGACAATGACCAGATCAGGAAGGATCGCTTGAAGAAAGGGGGTCGTCCTCAGTCGGCCCATTCTCTCTCACAGAGAAACAGCAGAGCCTCATGCTCCTCAGCCCAGGTGCGACATCAAGGCAGAGTTTGTGGCATTACCTGGAAGAGAAAACTGGACTATCACATGCGAAAGTTTTAAATGCAAAGTCCACATTATTTATCATTCAAACTTTTTCAGTATGTGAAATAACTTAATTAGTACAATGTTTTCTTTTTTAGAGTAGATCATCTGTGCAGTATGATGACAGCCCGTACCTCTGCTCGAGGAGTTCCATGGTCTCCAGCCCAAGGTTCAACACCTCCTTTCATGCTAAGGAGATAGTTTATCAGTCGTGTAAACCGGACCACTCTCATCACACTCGCCCAGCATCAGAGATAAAGTACCGAAGCCCAGAGTCAGCTTTGCACAGAAAGCAGTCGGCATGTTCAATGGGAGCTTTTGGAGATCAGAGTTGCTACAAGACTTTCCAGGATCCTGTCCAGAAGACATACAGTGGAGACTTGCTCCAGAAACATTCACAGCACTTTACTCAAGACAAACCTTTCACCCCTAAGACCCTGAAATCAGATAAGAGTTCATACCTGGCAAAATATCGCTATTACAGAGCACCACCAAGGAAACCTACTCAGGACTGCACCAACGCAAAATTAACGCAACAGGACACATATGACAGAAGGTATTTACAAATCATCTCAGTGAGTCTCAAAGGATAGCAACAGATAGCAACATTTCATTCAGCTTGTGCAGCATCTGCACCAGAATCTTAAAATATCTTCAATTCTTTGTCTTTTATGCAGCACAAAAACCAAGGAATACTCACAGGAATTTGATGAGCCATCTCAGGTAATTTTGATGATGTCATGTCATATTGTTATTATCCCTTTTAAACCATAAATAACGAGGTGAAAGTGAAGCTAAAATATGAATTTGATCATGAGAAAGCTTTGACAGTATTGAATATCCCCTCTCATTTCCAAGTCTTTTTTTTATTTTTATTTTTACAGGGATTTATTACAGAGCATGAGTGGTCTGAGGATGAGTTCAATGGCACATATTTCTCAACATCTAGACAACAGAGTCGAGTAAACAAGAGCAGAGACCATTATCTCTTTGACTCCTCATCCAGGTAAAATTGTGAAGTGGAAATAGTATGGTGTGTTTTATTCCCAATGTGTTGTGCCTTGTGTATTTCTGTGTAAAGCTCTAAAAGAATTAATAATAAGTCACCTCTCGTAGGGTCTCACCAGAAGGCAGGAAAACTCCCACTATGAAGAATGTATCTGCAGAGTAAGTTCTCTTTGATCATGTCTAATGCCTGTGCAGCTTTTGATTCAGATAGTAGAAAATATTGCTATATGTGTAATGATTTGGCAAAGTTGTGCTTCTGCAAATTTTAATAACTATCTAATGCAATGTATTCTCTGTGAAATGAATTATTCTCATCTGTTCCTTAACAGGGAAGAAGAATTAATGTACCTTGAATTTATTTCTGCTGTAACAGAGGATATCTTGTCCCGGGGGCACATCTCTGGCAGGTTTGCTGACATTTCTGTGCCGTCTGAACATGTGTACACTTAATTTAGTAAGTTAAACAGTGGCTAATGCCTCTTACACCCTTCTAAGTCATTACTTAAGTGTAAGTTTCTATTTCCTCTGCAAGGGTCCTAGACCGGGTGATAAAGCGCCATATTGACATGAATCGACATCAGCTTGATGAGGTGAGCATATAACTTAAGGCAGAATGCCAAATATGCATTAGCATGTCTTCTTAAATAAATATTTGAAAAAAAATAATTGAGGGATCTTTGAACTTCTTCTCATGCATCGGATTACATTGCTTGTTTTAGGGTAAAATGCGCCACCTTCTGGATGTGCTGCGTAAAGATTTTGAAGAGCCAACCAACATATCCACCTCCGGTACAGAGCTTGAAAAAAAGGAGAATGATCTTCTTGATTCACTCCTACCACATCTGAAATCAGGGGGGAAACAAGTGAAGACCAAAGAAGACAATGATCTGTTCCCCTATGCCTCACTCTTAAAATACTGCAATTCACCAGATTACACTGATGCCTTTTCACTGTCTACATCCGTATGTTCTCCTGAAAGGACTGCATCACCAACAAAAACAAATGAAAGAGACAAGGAGAGTGACAATCAGGAAAACTGCATTGGCTCTCCTTCGTTCAGTGAGCATGTTACCAATAATACAGGAATCAGTGAAGATGACTTCCAACACAGTCAAATAGGCACAACTGCAACAAATGAAGAAGTCAGCAATGAAAACCATGAATACACCACTGTAACCAGTGATGAAGGATTTCATCAAGACCAAGCTGAGGTCAATTATGGTGGGCAATCCAAAGACCTTGAGGATTTGGGAAAAAGTTTGTCAGAGTCACTTCATGTATCAAGCAGTACACATTATCACAACGTGGAAACTGCCAATGAGCAGCATGCAAATACAGCTGCCTCTGTGAGTGATGATGAGTTCTGAGTTTTGCTGTATTCAGGGGTTTAAATCCTGTAATGTTTTTGTTACCAGATGAGTGTTGTAACAGAGCGAAAGTTATATATTTGAATTTTCTGAAAGTATAGTTTTGTAAATGAATTAACACTGGTTGTGTTTCCATGTTTTTTACAAGCCCCGCCAATGAGGTGTTGTAGTCTTATGCTCAAAAAATTTTCAAAATGAATGCCCCATGGTAACTAGTGTGACTTGCAAATTTGCAACGGATTATCCATAGTACTGCACTGATGTCAGACGTGTGGAATTAGTGCTTTCCTCTAGCTTGAGTGGATTGCAGAGTGTGCCCAGTCAATCTTAAGAATGATGTAGCTGCAGTTTACATTTCCAGATTACTAGAAAAACAATGCTGTTACAAGTAACTTTATAATTGTGTGTTTGACTTAACATATGCCTCTGACATGTGGCTGTTAGGAGTTGACTGTCACCAGAAAGTGTCTTTACACATTGCAATAAATGTTCTACTTCTCTGATTCTTTTATGCTTTGCATCTGATTATTAAGACATTACAAACTCGTAATTACTCAGCCTGCAGCAAATATACACGGCCATTATTACCACACCTTGGCCCATTTTGCGAACAGTTACAAAGGGAAAGTCTTCAATCACAATAGTCTGTGTTTGCGATTACAGCTGTCAGTCGATGTAAAAGGTAAATAGACAGGTCAGCGGCCAGCAGTTCCAGGCAGCTGTCCCATTTCTGGCATTTTCACCGCTCGGCATTCCAGCTGTCTGATGTCATAGCTCAGAAAACCTCCATGTAGTCCTCCGCCACGGAGGCACTATAATGTATTTTGAAGCGTCTGCTCAGTAAACTACGGTTAACTACATAGTTTGTATTTATATATCGTAGAGTTGAAGTACATTCCATGGTAGTTCGGGAATGAATTAAATGCAGAAACACCAATGCCAAAGCTATAGGACCGCGGATGTAGACGGAATACACTTGTTGCTCTTCCAATCCCAGGAAGCGAAACACGCTTGGAACTTGAGTGAACTATCGGACCAAGAGGCATGGGGTGCAACGGTAGTTTTGATCCAGAAACTAACTGCAGACAATTCAGCTGTCTGTAATTGCGATAAACATCATCAAGTAGGAATCTGTTGAACTTGATGGCGGAATCCCAAAAGACTGAATCCTAGATGGTCTACTAATTTGCGTCTGATGGCTAACGGTAACGTTACGATTTTGGCCAAAATGTTTACCGGCGACGTCAGCTTCCCAAGGGTGTCGTCTATTTGCTGGAACATGTTAGCACGCTAGCGTTAAAGCTAAATTAAGTTGTTATTAATGGTTAATGTTACAAAGTTATTAAACTCATAATGAAAAGTAACGAGTTAGTTTGGAAAGTCTCAAACATTTGGCACACCTTCTATGAACACTGTGTTTTAGTAAGATAAGTTGCTGAGTTGAATAATATGTAATATGGTGGATGCATGGTTGCGCTGGAAAGGAGCAGGGAATTTTGCTTGTAGCTTGCTGCGTATTGAACAAGGTCGCTTATTTCAGTGTTTGGATCTGGCTATTTACCGGAAGGCGATTAATCTAACTACAAGCTTTGAAAAATGGCAAGCAAACCTTGTTATAGCCACTGTTAATTTTCTCAGGCCAGGCAGCCTGCTGAAAATTGCTTTTAAGTCCACAGATTTGTTTTAAATTGTGTTAACTTAAAGAACTGACTGTTGGATAAATGGTAACGTTAATGAAATCCCTCTGCTAGCAAATAGCCTAGTTAGGGGGGTAAAACAAAATGCAGCATTTAAGAGGATTACTTTACGATAGGTCGTGTGTTTTTCTAGTCAGGCATCCGTTGCTTGGTGACAGACCGGGTGTGAGTATTATATGTTATATGCGTCAGTGATGGGTATGGCCACTAAAGTTGTGATTCACCCCATTTTGCATTCCCCTTTATTTCATGTTAGTCTTTGTTGTGTAATTTAGTAGTTTGGACATGTTTTGAAACGTTTATTGTTTTGTTTTTCAGATCAGTCTGTTGATAACAAACCTCATGACTTGTAAGATTCACAAAAGTTTTGAGAGGACAGCCAGGAGGATAATCTCTCAGGACTAAAGTGAAGACCTCCCTCCTGAGGAAGTATAAAACATGCCCTTACCATTTGGCTTAAAACTCAAAAGGACTAGAAGGTATACTGTTTCAAGCAAGAGCTGTCTTGTCACTCGGATTCAGCAGCTCAATGGAGAGTTTGTTGAGTTTACACTTTCAGTGGAGAGCACCGGGCAGGAATGTTTGGAGGCAGTTGCCCAGAGACTTGAGTTAAGAGAGGTATGTATGTCTTTTCTGCAAATACAAGTGCTGATTGTTCTCTCTTATAGACTTTTGCAGACTCACCATGTCAGCAAAAAAGTGTTTTTGTTAAGGTTGGAATTAGTGAACAAAACAATAGAAACTAAGATAACTAGTTTTTCATTGTTTACTTATTTAATGTAACCTCTCATGGTGCCATGGAATGATTTTCTTAATCACATAATCTACATTTTTATGTAATTACATTTATGTAACCAACTGATCATACAGATAAGCACATATGATTCTGAAATGTTCCTTCAAACGTAAGTGCTGGCTTTGACAGAACATGGTTATCATGGGTATCTGCATCTGGTCACTGTGGTTGCACGGTAACACCATGTCTACCTGTGCAATCGTGGTTCTCTCAGATGTCAGTCTATGATTGAAAGATTAAGCAGGTTCTGTAATTGATTCAGGAGTGAGATTTAATTTAATGAGGACCACAATTTTGTTTGCATCGGACTGTGGGCAATTTCAATCCAAAGAAATTAGATGCCATCACATTTCCAGTGTTGTTACTTTCTCTGCTCTGAGTGATTAATATTTCTCATTATTATTTAAAAAACCACACACATTTGATTAATGTTTACACAGTGTTTACTCAGAGCTGCCAACTGATGTTATCTGGTGTAACTTATTTCTAGTATTGGTTTGAGAGTTGTTGCAAATTACAATACATCTCTTTCAGCTAAATTGTCCTTCATGAACAGCAAGCCCAGCGGTTTCTTATCATACCAGTGTTCATTATGAGATGTTCAGACAGTCACAAGACTGAACAATGAGTGCCAACAGCCTGTTAATCTAGAGAAGTTTGCAGTGGTTGAATTTTCAGGTCTACGTATGTTTTGAATATTATATGGATGATTAAGAGAAGAACAGCAGACTAATGCACCTAAAATAAGTGACTAAATAGGATAAATGTATGATTTGGTCTCCAGCAGTCTCATAATGTCGTTCTAATATGTAATCTAAGTTTTGGTAGGCATTGCTTCTAGTTTACCACAAATAGTTAAACCTAAATTAGTCTGATAGACATACAAGTTGCCCTAGAATGTCCTTGATCACAGCGTAGTTGAGGTGTAATGTGTCTTGCTTGCTTTCTTTGTTTGTTAGATAACATACTTCAGTCTGTGGTACTTCAACAAGCAGAACCAGCAGAGATGGATTGACTTGGAGAAGCCGCTGAAAAAGCAGCTGGACAAGTATGGGCTGGAGCCCACCGTTTACTTTGGAGTCGTGTTTTACATACCCAGTGTCACCCAACTGCAACAGGAGATCACAAGGTGATGTTCCATCAGTGACACTAGATGTCTTCTCTAAGCCACTAAATGTATTACTAGAATATCAGTCAGAAAGTTACAGATTTTAGGTATGAACTGAATGCCAAGCAAAGTTTAGTGCAACCACATCAGGCGTTTATTTTTTTCTCTAAATAAACTCTGGTCAGGCTAAGATGGTCTTCAAGGCAAGAAGTTGATGAAGCAACTCAGATGCACAGTTGCACCCAAAGTAGCGGATGCCAGTGTATAATGATAGTTTCTTACCTGTGCATCTCTAGTAACCAGGCAGAGAGGCGTAAAGTATAATGTTTTAAATGGGCCATAAGGTATTTTGGTATTGCGGTACAATTTTTCTCTGTTACAGCTGTTTCTGGATACCTGAATGATGTTATCATATTTGGTTGTTGCCTGCTTGTCTGTTCCCTACTTTTAAGTATCCCTCTCTTTCCCAACAGATATCAGTATTATCTACAGCTGAAAAAGGACGTTCTGGAGGGCAGGATCTCATGCTCGCTAGAACAAGCTGTACGTTTAGCTAGCCTGGCAGTGCAAGGTAAATATGAACGTATAATATTTGCCTTATGACACAAACCATGGACAAGAGTGGTGTTTCTTGGTATAAATCGCTCTGCAGTGACTACAAGCAGCCCAGGCAAAGCAATTACTGGTGCAATTACGGAGCAATTGTCCATAAATAATGATATAGGGCAACACCCACTTAAACAGGAAACCTCCCCTCGCATCTACAAAAATTGCGGGGATGCGGGAACATTAGAATTATTTTTCAGTGATTTCTGGACATGAAGCTTGTGCCAGTTCATTAAAGTTTTTGCTAAACAAACCCGCAAGATTGTTACAAGACTGTTAGTAAACTGCAGTAAGCTTGTTCATTTCTAGGCAGATAACTTTTTAATCTTTATCAGAGCAAGAGAAAAAAGTTTCTTTTCAAACCACAGCTAATGAAACTGGACTTAAGGTTGGAATTTTATAAAACATTGTTATGAACCTTATTATTTTATTATACCCTATGTCTTGTTTTAACAAGCACCATCAAACCTAAACCAGCCTATTAAATTAGGCAGCATTGTGTGTGTGTGTGTGTGTGAATGTGAACACCCCTTGCATGAGCTTCAGCCCTGACACATCCTCCTACTTTTGCCCAGCCAGAAGAATCTCAAACACTGTTGGCAAAGTTATATCAGGCAGTGCAACTTACTGGCCTGGGTGTTAGCATAGCAGAGCAGCTGAGATCACTTACTGTTGCAGCCATGTTCAGATGACTGATCAGCCTGCAATATGTGCCTCAAAGAAAAGCCCCATGAAACTTCTTGCAAGTGCCCTTAAGCTGTCTTGCAAACTTGGAATTAGTGCTTTAAATAAAGTTGTGCAGTTCCTATTTTGTGTCTCTGACCAGGATATTTTGGAGTGAAGGGCTGTTGTAGCTTTTGAGCATTGCTGATGCCTGGGATACTCAAGATAGCTGTGAATGTTGCCAGCAGGCAGCCTGAAGCAGTAACAGTTTTGGACCTCTGCGTTGTCAGACACTGAAGCAATTCCCTTCCATAACAAACGGGCCCCTCCTCTCCTAAAATTAGTCCATTTAGTCATCACACACTCCAGTTTTCCAAAAGGCATTACTCCATTCTGAAATTCTTGAATGTCTATTTTGCCTTGTTCTAAATGCAGAAAAGGACATGTAATAGGATTTATTCAGAGGGCAGTGTCACGTGAGGTATGTTATGCTGTATTTACTCATTTAGTGCATCTTTCTCTATGCTCACAGCTGACTTTGGAGACTTCAATCGATATGATTCCCAGGAGTTCCTCCAGAAATTTGTGCTGTTCCCTATTGTAAGTATTTTGATTTTTGAGTGCTCAACACGTGAAATGAAAAGTATTTCAGATGTCCTGTGTTCATCTGTGTTTAATACCAACATTGCATCAATCCTGACTCCGTCTCTGCAGGATTGGATTCAGGATGAGCGAGTGCTGGAAGAGGCTACTCAAAAAGTGGCTCTGCTTTATCAGTCCTTCAGGTGAGCAGGTTTTTAAAGCATCCACCTGGCTGCTCTCTGCATGGATCAACAGATAAATAGTTTCACATGTTGCACAGGCAAACAGTGCTTTTGCATCTTTCTAGGCATTCTGCCCAGACAGATGAAAATCACTGTAAACAGATTATCTGTCGTCATCTGGATCCACTTAGTCTCACTCAGGCTATACAGTATATAACCCATCTCCTGTGATTTACATGAGGACAGGCTGAAAAGCTGAAAAATGAAGCTGGTCTTATACTATTTACCCTCATTTTATGTATACACTTTTGTTTTTTGTTTTTGCATTGCTTTGCTTGTCTGTGTCAATGGGTTCAATGGGTGTTGGCTGTTGTTTCTTCATATTTTTCTTGCCATGTTTGTCCTTTTCAGGGGTTTGTCAGCACCAGAGGCAGAGATGTTGTACATGCAGGAGGTGGAGAAAATGGAGGGCTACGGCCAGGAAAGCTATCAAGCCAAGGTAGGCCTATAAGATCCATCCTGCAATCCCTGGACAACAGCCCAGAACTCAGAGAAGTGTGAAGCTGCAAACTATTGCTACTACTGCACAGCCTGATCTATTATAACTATTGGGTTAAAAAAGCGTTCTGGATTCTTTCACCTAAAAGACTGTTTTGAATGTCTTCTTCCTTTCCTCTTATCTAAACAGGACAGCACAGGCACAGATGTTACCCTTGGATCCTGCCTTGACGGCATCTTTGTCAAGCACAAAAATGGAAGGCCGCTTATTTTATTTAGGTAAATCTAGAAACAAGTTTGTTTGACTTTTGCACTTGTCTAAGTGTCCTGAAATATGACCCACTTCTTAATATGAAGCATTGAATAGAAGCTTTGTCTGCTAACTTGCTAGACTGAGCAGTAATTACATTGAATCAGACAGCCAGTATAGATTGGGGTTTGTGGTACAGCTCATGGCTATTCTTGGATAAGGTTGTCTCCTGTGATGTTCCTTAATGCTCTCTAGACCTGAATGTGGCCCAAGAGGAAATGAGTCAGGTAGACTGTATTAGCTGATAAGGATTGTGGGGGCATTATTTGTCAGTCCAGTGAGTAAGGGAACATTCTTGACCTAGGTTGAGCGGTGTCTATCTACATACCATTCTGAGTACTAGATACCTTTTCATTGACTGTATGACTGCTTTTATTATGCATTGTTAAAGCAATACCTCAGTCCTACTAAGAAATGCTGTGAGGTTTTGCGACCGCTATGAAATCATCTGTTTTCTTTTCCCCTCTCTTTCTCTTTGCCGCTGTGCTTTAATTGGCTGTGTAGGTGGAATGAAATTAACAACATGAGTCACAACAGGTCCTTCTTTGCCCTGGAGCTGGCCAACAGAGAGGAGAGTGTTCAGTTCCAGACCGTAAGTCCCTGCTGCCATTACCCCCCCCCCCCCCATTTCAAGGGACATTGCAATGTCTTAGAGGATTTAGCAAAATTGGAAATGGCCTTTGTGGTGGAGCTTACCATCAGCTAGATTTAACAATGCACCTGTGTGTTTGTGTGTGTGTGGGTGGCTGTAATTTGGGTTGTTTGGGTATGAGTGGGTCATAAAGTCACATACCATTAGCTGAAACTCACTGTAGAAGCATTTGAGGGCATACACATTTATTTGTAGGTTACTTAGCAAAAACCACATCTGTTCCAATTTGCTCACCATCTATTTTTTTTTTTCTATGTAGGAAGACATGGAAACCTCCAAATATGTGTGCCGGATGTGTCTGGCCAGACTCAAGTTTTATAAGATTAACAAGAGTAGCCTGTAAGTGTTTTTCCTCCTCATTTCCTAAAAGTGTTTTTTTTTTTTAACACGTCTAGCCTAGTTCCTGTCTCTTTGTTCCTTGTCGTCTCATGCATGTGTCTCCTCTCTGGTGTTGCCTCATTTCTATCCTCCTCTCCTCCTCTCTCTTCAGAGAGGAGTGTGACCCCCTGCCTTCTGAGGGCTCCCAGAAGTCCCTTCTCACTTTATCCTTTCCTCGCTTTCCAATGCTCTCTCGTCCCTCTCTGCCTTCTAATAAGGGGTGAGCAACACAGTCAGCCACCACCTACAGTATGCCTATCAATCATGTGCCAACACCCATCCCTTTGTGATTGCCCGAGCAAACAGTAACCACAGCAAACAGGCTCTCTGTATCCGAAATGAGCCTTGGGCTTTGAGAACATGCAGTGACTTTAGGAATTTATAAAAGGAATTTATATATTTAGGTTATAGTCTAAAGCTTTGTCAAATCCACAGGAAGCCACATTTTTTTTAACTTTTAGCTAAATTTAAGAAATGCAATCTGTAATTCAGTGTCTGTCATAGTCCTGTTATTCACTGGGTATCTGCCTTCAATAGGTCAGGTTACTAAACCTCAGTGCTTGTTGAGTGATAGAAAAAGAATGATGTTTTGTTAAATGCAAATCAATCAAAATTGAAAGTACTTGCTCAAGTCTTGGTGCAGTGGATTAAAAATGTTGCATGGTGCACTAGAGGAGAGTTGTACGTTGAGTTTTAAATTTGATGGACTTGTGCACTGGTTTTCACCTTGCTGTGTGTGTGTCCTCAAGGTTAAAGGGCAAATGGGTTTTAGAAATATATAGTCCTCAAAGTAAGAGTTTGAAAAAAGTATTATCAGTAGTAGTGTTATTGGGTTACCTCAACTTTTTTGACCCACATTTCTTTTCCCCAGAAGCCAAGCTCAACCCACCGTGGTAAACCCAGTCAGAAGGAGATCCTCAACTAGAATATCTCTGGTAATGTTCATGTATGCTCAAAACACAGTATTCATATGTTGTATACTTGTGTAACTTTCTGGCTTGCATTGCAGCACATGATGTATGTTGAAAAAAACATGGTTATATTTAATTCTGGAACAGTATTTGGATTGTATGAGCAGCAACTGAATTCCTCTCTTGTTGGTTTACAGCCAAAGCCTCAGGCCTACATGATGCCCCCTCCGCAAATGCACTACAATGGCCATTTCACAGAGCCTTACACATCATCACAGGGTAACTACTGTGTTTTGCACTGTGATGCCTGCCTTTTGTTCAGCTAAATGCAAATATATAATTGTTATGTATTTTAGAATTCTATACCTATCTTGATATGTCCTCACCTTCACAGACAACTTGTACATGAACAGTCAGAACGGTTATTACTACCACTCTCAGACCAGCCTGGACTGCTCTCCTCTGGAATACAACAGCGGTGGGCGATTACGCAATGGCAGCGTCTACAGCGCCCACAGCACCAGCTCTCTAACCAATCCTCAACACTACCTTCAGCCGTCACCCATGTCCTCCAACCCCTCTATCACCAGCGATATCACCAGGCCAGACTACGTCCCCTCGCATCGTCACAGCGCTCTCATCCCACCCTCCTACCGCGCAACTCCTGATTATGAGACAGTGATGCGTCAGAAGAACCGGGGAGTGGGAGGAGGGATGGTTTTGTCTCAAGAGCACCGGCAGAGCCACTCGATGAGGAACCTAAACATTGGAAACTCTTACGCCTATAGCAGGCCAGACCCTCTAGTTTACAGCCAGCCAGAGATCAGGGGGGAACATGGTGGAGCAGCCCAACACCACCACTATCCTTTCCATCTGGGCTCCAGCTTCCACAGCCCCTCTCCATACCCCTATCCCACAGAGAGGAGGTCTGTAGTGGGGGCGGTTAGTGTCCCTGAGCTCACTAATGTCCAGTTACAACAAGCCCAAGAGTATCCAGCCCCCAACATCATGAGAACACAAGTGTACCGACCACCTCCACCCTACCCATACGCCCATCCTCGGCCTGCAAACAGCACACCTGACCTGTCTCGTCACCTGTATGTCAGCAGTAGCAACCCAGACCTGATCATCACGAGGCGTGTGCACCACTCAGTCCAGACTTTCCAGGAGGACAGTCTGCCTGTCGCTCACTCTTTACAGGAGGTGTCAGAGCCCCTTTTCAGCGGACCCCCGCACAGACACCCATACCATGCTCAGAAGCGTAACTCCATTGAGATTGCCGGATTGGCTCATAGTCTCGAGGGGATGAGGGTCAAAGAGCGGACTGTGTCTTCTTCAGCAGCTGAAACTGCTACGCCCCCTCCAGTTTTGCGTGGCGGTCGCTCTCAGGGCTCACAGCTCAACGTGTTTTTGGAACGTACAAAGACGGAGGACAGGGACGACATTAAGGACGTGCAGTATGGACACAAAAAGTCCCTCTCAGATGCCACCATGCTGGTTCACAGTAGTGGTGAAGAAGAGGAGTTTGAGGACGATAATGAACGTCACACTCCACTTTCTCAGGACGCAATTTCAGCCATTGTTCCTGAGCAGGGACCCCAGCAGCATCACAGTCTGACATCTCTCTCTTCTCTACCGCCTCAGCAGCAGACTCCCATAGAGCCTCCTCCTGCATATCCCATAGGCTCCTCCCTTGACCCCTCTATAACCGGCTCCCTGACGTACAAGGTTCACCCCCTGATCCAGGAGGGTGAGCCTCTGTACATGCTGTCAGATTTACGACAGCCCAGGATTATGCCCTCGGTCTCAGAGGGAGACCTGAGTGGCCAAGCCAAGCAGAAGACTAAAACAGACTTCAAGAAGAGGCCTGTGTCTGATGTGCCGCCTGCGAAGAAAACTGTGGAAGGCTTGCCCCCTCCGGTGAGTCTTGTTCCCAATCTCCTGCTATTAATAGTCTCCCTTATTAATGTTTTTTTCAACCTACAGCAGCTAATATATCTGTGTAGTTGTTTATATTATTACCATAAGGCAGTGATAATTTAATAGTTTAAAACTGAGACATGGAAAATAAGAAAATAAGAAAATAAAAAATAGATGCTCTGTCTGAGCTCCAGGGCTGTAATTTACAATCATTTTCATTATGAGTTAATTTGCCAAGTATTGTTTTAATTAAGTGTTTAGTCAATGTCAAAAATTTCCATTTCATATTTCACAAAGAAAAGCAGCAAATGAAGATGTTTGAGAAGCTGGAACCAGCAATTTTTTTCAACTAATCTTTTAATCATTAAAGCTCTACTATGCAACACTTAACATTGTTGGAGATATTGTTATATTTGGCTTCTCTAAAGATTTCTAGACGTCTGTCGTTAAATGCACGTGAAAGCAAGATTGATAATTTAGCGGCTAATTAGTTTAGGTTTTCAGCATGTCAAGTAACTATTACTGTAATTTACTGCTGACAACATTCAGTCACACTCCAGCTTCATATTGGTCTGTAAAGGCCAGTGTCAAAAAGCAAGTAACTGCTCCCAGTAACTTGTTTTGTTTGCTAAAACAGTTCTTTGTATCTACCTGTTTTTTTCTCAGTAATAAGATGTCTGTGCCTCATACCAAGATAACAGGAGTATGCATGTAGAAAGCATTTCAGGTAGTTTCAGTGCACAGCGTTGACTGACGCAAACACTCACTTTGACACATCTCAAGAGAGAATGTAGTTGGTCTACCTCGGAAAAACCGGATAGGTGACATTCTGCAAAACACCCAGCGAACCTGCGCTGTCTCTCCCCTCATCTACCTACTCCCTCTCTGTCAGGTTCACACACATTCAACCTCACTTTTCTCTGTCTCGACTCTCTTGTCATACCAGGGCATGAAGAAAGGGGCTAGGTCAGAAGTGAAGAAGATGGGCCCTCTGAAGGTGGCCAAGCTCAACGGCCTGTCAGTGTCCAGGCAGCCAATGCACGACGAGGTGAAGGATGAACCTGAACGAGCCTCTAATGACGAGAGGGTAGGACTGAGTTTTGTTAAGTTTTGGAGTTGTTAGTGATTTGCTCCTCCAAAGATAGAAGTTTGTTTAGTTTAGTCATTGGTAACCTGTGAGATAATGTTAGATTTGTTACATGTTGCTTGTGTATTGTTGGTGACTTGTTTAGTATGCTCAGTGCCAGGAGCTGCTTGTTTTGTTGTTATTGGTAACCTCCATGAAGGTGAGACCTTGTTATGAAGGATACATGAAGGAGAAAGTGTTAAACGATGTTCTTGTTCCCACCGTGAACATACATCTGAACTCTTAATGCTTGTTGCTTTGACAAAGTGAAAGTAAATTCCAGACACTCTAAAATTAATTACATCTATAGCTAACCATGGTGTGACTGGGTCTAAAATTAAATGCAAGCATACAATAAATTCCCTAATGTCTCATGCACACAGGAATTGTCAATCAAAGACATTATTACTACGCTCCTTGATTCACATGCACAAAATTCCACTACTGCAGACCAAATGTATGATAATGCTATTGACGCAAGAGTGGTGCAACATATTTACTGAATAGTACTGATTACGATGTGCTCTTACAGTAATTTCTAATAGAAAGTAAAACTACACACAAGCTGTTGATTTTGTATTAGACTTCCTCATAATTGTGTAATTCTGTGTCACTGCTGATTAAAGATTAGTGAATGTTACTGGACATCTTAACACATTATTTGCGTATTTCTAAAATTAAACGGATTGGCCTAAGGAAGTTAAAATGAGGTAAAGTTGTTTCCGACCCAGGACTGTGTTGTGCATGGCAGTGATGTATTTACCGTTTCCTTTTTTGTGTACATCAGTGTAAATTGCTGGAACAGCACATGGACAGGGGCGAGCTGTTAAAAGAGTACGAGAAAATCCCAAAGCGTCCAGGAGGGGAATACACCGTCGCCCAGCTGCCAGAGAGCGGAGACAAAAACCGCTTCCAAGACGTCCTGCCTTATGACAGCAACCGAGTGGAGCTGGTTCCCACTAAAGAGAACAACACAGGATACATCAATGCATCACATATTAGAGTAAGTTGTGCTGAGATGTATCACACACCTGTCTCTTTGCAAACCACATGTACATGAGTTTGTTCTCAATCAAGCTAACAAACACATCCTGTTTCACTTCCCCTCATGCAACTTGATATTGTTAACATTACAGTCACCCTGCCTGGTAAATTCCCACGTTACCTGCCGTACTCAGTTTTTACGGCAGGTTTACTGTTATGTTTCCGAACCCAAGATAAGATTACCTTGATGAAATCACTGTGACAACAAAGGGATTATTTTCTCACACTTGAGAAAAAGCTTCCCAGAAGACATAATACAACTCCTCACCAGCTAAGTAGTACTACTCATGATGAGTAAACTAAAAATGGTGAACTTCCCCTTTAAGCTTTTATTCGCTCATTAAGAGTAATTACAATCATAAATGTGAGCCGCAGTGCACTGACACATTCAATACTTGAGGCATAATTCAGAATGACCAGAATAAATGACAGTCAGTAAAATACTAGCAAAGGATTTTAACCATTTACACAGTGAATCCATCTCATTGAACAGACAGCAGGACACCTCTGTGGATTACAGCTGCTCATGAGTAGCAAACATGCTGCTCATACAGGGGTGTTTGGTTTGTGGGAAGAGAATGACTGTAGCTTAGTCACATTTCACTCCCTCATTGTGACACAAAATTACTAATCTTTCCTCAGAATGACTTCCATCTTTTTCTGCTGCTGTGGCTGTTTTTTAAAAAAGTAATAACTGATAAGATCTTATGACTGATGACTTCAATGTTTCCTCTCCCATTAGATAATAGTAGGAGGACAGGAGTGGAGCTACATTGCAACACAGGGTCCCATGTCGAACACGTGTCAAGACTTCTGGCAGATGGTGTGGGAGCAGGGCGTCTCCATCATCGCCATGGTCACTGCTGAAGAGGTGCGTTAAATTTCATACTCAATGCTTTTTTTTTTCTCATCACTGCCTGGACTGACCTTTCTATGTCCTTCTCTCCCTCCAGGAGAGCGGCCGAGAAAAGAGCTTCCGGTATTGGCCAAGACTTGGCTCACGACACAACACGGTGACGTACGGGCGCTTCAAAATCACCACCCGGTTCCGCACCGAGTCCGGCTGCTACGCCACCACAGGACTCAAGATCAAACACCTCCTGACAGGCCAAGAGAGGACTGTCTGGCACCTGCAGTACACAGACTGGCCTGATCACGGCTGTCCTGAGGACTTCAAAGGCTTCCTCAGTGAGTGGGATCAGTATCAGTTTTATATGACTGTGTTACGTTTGAATTTATAGCAACATTTATTTAATTTGTGCCATGAATTTGATCAGTTTTATATGAAGTTAAGCAAAGAGTCAGTGAAGATGAGCTAGCATAATATTCAACCCTTTAAAAAAAATGTAGGTTTCCAAAGTTTCATGTTAGAAATAGTATTTGTTTACATAATTAGGTCTCAAGTGAGCATTCTCATCTTTTTCCAGCCTACTTAGAGGAGATCCAGTCTGTGAGGAGACACACAAACAGCATCAGTGACCCAAAGAACACCAACCTACCTGTACTGGTCCACTGCAGTGCCGGAGTGGGAAGGACTGGAGTGGTCATCCTATCTGAGATCATGATAGCCTGTCTAGAGCACAATGAGGTAACTTCCTCACAAAAGCGACATTAAAACGTAAAACCAGTGTAGTAAAGCTTTTTCATGTTATGTTTTAAGTTATGACTACATCTAGTGTATATATTTTTTTGGTTGCTTTGCCATCTCTGTGTTTTTAGATGAAACACTGCTGTCTCTCTCATGCTTGGTGTCTGTCTGTTTCAGCCACTGGATGTCCCAGAGATCCTAAGGAAGCTGCGTACTCAGCGGATGATGATGGTTCAGACTTTGTCTCAGTACAATTTCATCTACAAGGTCCTCATTGAGTATCTCCGCAACTCCAGGCTGATCTGAGCACAGGCATATGTCCAGCCCGTCAACATACACTGTCATCACAGATGATTTCAGGGGTGGAAATTGCTCCAGGTTTATGCCAAACTGCACTGTGATGATGTAGCTGCATAAATCTGTTTAAATGTAGCATTGACATGTTGTGGATCCTCTTTTGGCCAAGTATTAAGTCAGGCAAGGCTGAAGGAAAGATTTGTGGATATACAAAAAAAAAAAAAAAAAAGACGCAATATCACATGAAGGAGCATAAAGACTTAAAACCTGCCTCTAAATAGTATTATATTATTTTTTACATACATTATTGCTTAATAAAGCCCAGCACTTTTACAGTACTTTGCTGTACATATTGAACCAATGTTAAGCTGCATTAAAAGAAAAATCTTTATCATAGATGTGTACTGAAAACAATTGATTTATTTTCATTTGACAAAGGACGCTTTTCAACTGTGTATGTTTTGGATTGCAGTTGCTATTGGTTCTGATAATGAAGGACTTTTCTATAGTGATGAAGTGAACAAAAGCTCAGAAATAGTTTCATATGAAGGTTTGATTATGGAGCCAAGAGTTGAAGAATGCAGTTCAATTCAGGTGTCTGCACGTAAAATAGTCAAGAGTGTGCTTTTCCTGTCGTTCCGAAAAATCCTTACTGCCCGCAAAACATGTTCAACTATGACAAACCACCTGTTGAAACAAAGAGGGGTGGGAGATGATGGATTGGGCTTTGTAAAACACTGGTTTTATGGGAAGTAGAAATGCACGGGTTTGAAAAATCTGTTGTTGACAAGTGAGGAAAGAGAAAGTCACAGCAGGTCTTTTGGGTTGAGAGTAAAACTGGAAAATTCATTTTATACTCATTTATTTTTCATTACTTTTTTATCATGAGAACTGTTAAAGATTTCAACCAGAGTGCTGTATTTGAGCGATATACTTTAAAGTCTATTTTTGAGACATAGTGTTTAAATATCAGCATTGTTTAGTAGAAAAAATGTTTTTGTTTGTTTTTGCATAATATGAAGGAAATTTAGACATTTTTCTCATTCAGTGTCATTTATTGTAGTAATATGTTATTAATCCCATTTGATACATTTGAAAAACATCCCTGCAAGAAAACACAAGGATCGCAAATTATAATATTCATGAATTCAGCTTACATCCCTAAAGTCATGACAGATGAGCCTTCATTTTAATGTAAATGCACAAAACAGAGACTGTTAAAAGAAACAGGAGGCCATGTAACTAACAGTTGCAGGCAGTGTGTTGGGTTTTACATCACCCCTGCTGGCTGTGACGCTCAGTATTAATGTGAGGCAGACAGTCTGTGGGACAGACTATCTCCAGTTTCAGTATTCTGGCTGCCACGCTTGTTTTCACTCCAGTGAGAAATCTCCCCTCTGCTGTTACAAACGGCCACTTGACTATTAATGAACACTCGACTGGAGTCAGACACAGAACGTGTCTATTTCCTGCTGCAGCTATAAGTAGAATTGAACGACGTGAATCTGTACAGAAACGATGCTTACAAGCCCTTGCAGAGTTTACATGAAGTGAAATGTGTTTTTTTTTTTTTATATAAACTGCAGATTTGCAATTCATTGCGCCAACTTAATTTATAATGTGGCCAAAGTGAAGAGATTGTCCCTAATTTTTCTTATTTTTGTTGACAAGTTTTTGGTGTCAAAGACGCATAGGCAGTGATCTTACATAACTGGAGAAAAATACATCTGAAGTGATTGTGAGATATCTTAACTGGATTTTTTTTTTTTTTAAAAACACCCATCTTTTTTTTTTTGCTTGAGATTTTGTGTTTTTTGGTTTTAAGATACTGGTTGAGTCTTAGTTTGGTGACTGAAAAGTGATTTTTGTGGCCAAGGTGTAACTCTTTTGTCCATGTACAGGTATGTTGTTCATAATGTACACAATGTAAAATTCTGCTTTAATGAATATTGGTTATTGTACAAACTATGTATAAACTGTATCTATTGAAAAAAGGTATGCCATTGGAAAAATACACAATTGTAGAAAATCTTTACAGCCAAGAATAAATATTTGGAAATAACTGTCACCTCCTGCATTTCTCAATTTACATCAGTCCATGATGCCACCTTGTGGTGTCAATTAGCCAGTGTCTCCATTTCAGCATTATTTCAGTAGCTGATTAAAGCATCAGTGTAAGAGGGAGTTTACTTAATTGGTCTTTATTAAATAAATTCAGAGGTTGAAAAGGATCACAGTCGCAATGTATAAAGCTGGTACAGTCTTTGAGGGAATCACTTTTGATCTGATGTTTTATAGCTTGAAATCTAAAGTGAAATACTGTATGTGTTAAAAAAAAAAGAGTGACTCTCAAAACTGACGGGGGGGGGTACACACTTGAAGTTCACACAGTGGAACTACAGTTAAGTTTCAGAAGCTGAACCTCCTTGTGTTTTTGCAGACTTTGACTTCAACATCCTTCATTCTGTCCCAACATCCCTCTTAACTTGCAAAAGCTTTCAAAATGTTCATATTTCAAGTTGGGAAAGCATATGTAGTGTGTTTGTCCCTCCTTTCAGTATTCAAGATGATATGATCTAGATATTATGGCTGGTATTTTCAATAAAAAAAACACTGATGAGAAAATATATATAAAAAAAAAACAAAAACAATTAAAACACTAATAAAAGTAAAATCATCCACATGGGTAACATTTGTCACTGAATGTTGCTAAGTCTGCCATCATTTTAGAAAAAAGTGTTCTTCTATAGAAAATATAGAAAACAGAATTGATCACTACACAAGAAAATCAGTAGAAATTAATACTGGTACCGTCCTCTCTTCCCTCCGTGTCCTCCATATCCACCATAACCTCCATGTCCACTATGTCCTCCTTGGTTCCATCCACCTCCTCTCCAACTACCTCCATCACCACCACCTCCTCCTCCTCCTCCTCCATGTCCCCAGCTTCCTCCTCTTCCACCACGGCCTCCCCAGCCACCTCCACCGTCTTGTCTTTTCTGCCAGGGTGGCATCTCAGGGGGCGGGGCTTCTATCTCTGAGGGACGTCCTCCTCGGTCTGGCACTCTCCCCATCAGGACCTGTGGATGAGAGAGGAGAGGAATACTTGTGTGAGAGGAAAACGTCAGATTAAAGGCAGTTACTGGGCAAAGAGGAAGACTTGTCCTTTACCTTGTTGACAGCACAAGCTGTTTTCTCTCTGCTGGAGCCACTGCTGGTCTTCACCACGTTGCAGAGGTCTTCTCTGGCAGCCAGCAGCCTGGCCATGTCCACTGTGGACTGTGGCCTCAGAGAGTGTCTCCTTGGCTGGTAGGCCCTCGCCATGCTGTCCACCTTGACCTGAGAAAAACCACACACATATACAGTCCTGGACAGTTAACACATTTTTTGTTCTTCCGGCTCTATGCTTCAGCACATTCAGTTTGAAATCAAAAAATGGATGCTACATTAAAGTTCCAAGTCTCAGCTTTAATTTGATTATCTTTACATCAGTATAGGAAGAACTGAGTGGGAGATATGGCCATTTTAACACTCAGTGCCATAATTGTGTTCAGAAGTAAATGGACACGTGGCTGCTAAAAGTTTCTTTTAAAGATGAGTTGTTTCTACGTTAGTTCACGCACAAAAGAGCTCACACAACACTGACAGAGTTGCCATTTAGACTGAGGAGCTGTCTGCCAATGTGAGGAGCAAAGAGGTGGCCATAAAGTGTTGTCTTGTGGATCAATGGAAAATCATTTGCATTGTTAAGAAAAACCCCTTTACTGACTGACGGCACAGCAAGTTAAGAATGCTCTCCAGGAGCACTGTGTGTGTTCAGATTCAACCAAATGCATCCAAACTCATTGGACGACATATTATCATTCTGCAGGACGATGATCTTAAACATAAGACCGCAGCAACCACAGAGCTTCTTAGGGCAAAGATCGGAACGTCCTCGACTGGCTGACTTAATCACCTGATCTCAACCCGATTGAGCTGCATTCCGCTTCCTCGAGACCAAACTAAAGGCAGAGACTCCACAACGAGCAAGAGCTGAAGGAGGCTGCAGTGAAGGCCTGGGAGAGCATCACCACGGAAGATACAAAGTGTCTGATGTCCAAAACTTAAGGCATTGATTACAAAGGATTTTCTACAAAACATTAAATGACAGTTTTGTTTAACTTTGTACGTATCTGTCTACTACTTTTGAGGCACTAAACTATGGACAGTATGTGCGTCCCACACAGTTCCTTCATTACTGATGTAAACCTAAACTCATGCCCCTCAGTTTAGTGAGAGGTCCCTGGTTTGATGAATGATTATCATGTGAACGTGCCTTGGCTCGGTCTGACCACCCGAAAGACTGAACCGTGACGTCCAACCGTTTGATCAGCATCCTGCGCCGACACTCGTACTCTGAGGACAGGACTGTGTTGATGTTGTGCAACTTCTCCTGCAGAGACAAAGAAAGTGACTTAAATTAAAACTAAGCTATTGCACGACACAAAACACAACCAGCCATTGATGTAAAGCTATAAGAGTTAAGAGGTTACATGGTTCATTTCAACCCTTGATCTACTTACCCACTGTTCACTGGTGAGAGAATTCTTGAGCACTGGGCTTCCAATGGAGACCTTCGGAAAATCTTTAAGTACTTTATCAACCTGTGAATAACATGGTTTAATGTATTAATTCTATACAAAAGGAAGAGAAAATATACATGTGCTTTCTGTTAACACGTGTATTCCCAGGGAAGGGATATTCATTATAAAACATCAAAATTAGGGCGAATGGCACAAAATAGATCAGACTCCCTTACGTAAAACTGTCTAATGGTACAATCCAATGTATGACTACAAGTCAATTGTATTGGCTATTTTAATTATTAAGCAGAGAATTAATGGAAAGTTGAGTTCTTTCTCCCCCAAAAAATCTGTTTCTCCTAAGCCATGGTTTAAAGTATTTTAAGCCTGTACATCAACACACACTTACTTGTCTTAAGTTATAAACATATCAAGACGATTATTAGTGAACATACACTTTTTTCAACCTCTCTCATCACACGGCAGGCTAAATCAAACATTATCACTGGTGACTTTTGGTGGTGCTGATACAAATGTACTTTATGAAGCACTGTATGGTCCCACCTTGCATTGTATTTGGGAGAAGACTCCTGCTGCGTCTGGTCCTCTGGGCTCTGATAACGTCAGCGTTTCACAGATTGCTAGAAGCTCCTGATACACCGGTTTCTTGTCTTGCTGTTTATCAGAGACTTGCCTGCTCCCCACAATCTGAGCCGCCTGGAGCTCAGAGCTGAGAAACACTTAAAAAAGACACAGAATCATAATCTTTAATTATTTTCTGACCACACAGAGACCCCGATGCACAACAACTGGAAAGAGGGCGCATGGCTGATAACATACAGACACACTTGAGATGATCTTTTGTGTTTTGCACGCTGCCCTTGAGAATCCCTGAAACGACTTCTTCATAAGGACAGTGTAACTCCTTCAACAAACCGCTCATCTCAACCTGGAGGCTGTCCATGTCGTCTGATGTGGAGAGGGAGGAGGGCAGAGACACACAGGTTCAGTGTGAGTGAAATCAGACACAACTGACAGGGGCATCCACACTATTGTTCTTCATGGAGAGGCGGGGGTGTGGATGTATGTGGCTCACCTGGACCGGATGTGATGCTTTCCTCTAGGTCACACAGCGGCTTTAACCTGGATGCCAGCCACCTGCACAGGTCCACATACTCCTGCGAGGACAGGCCTCCCTCTGCGGCTCCGAGCAGCGCCTTCTCCTCCAGCAGAGGGCCGTCATAGCTGAGGAGTCATGCGAGCATCAAATAGACAGCAGCATTGTTCACAACTAGCTACTGCATTCTCAGGCTCCGTACTTTATAAACACACACAGACTGAAAATATAACGGTGGCGGATGTGGAAGGTAACGTTAAAAACAAAGCTAAATAGCTAACGTAACATGCTAACAGGGAATTAGCTTACCCCAGCTGCTCCAACGAGTCCAAAATGTCACACTCCATTGTTGAGTCCGTCAGGCTTTTAAGTCTGTTTATCTACTTAAAACATTACGACGTTGCATTTAAAACCATGTCAACACGAACACTATCTACACTCATTCATTTCTACAGCTGCATCGTGCCTCCATGCTGTTCCGGTGACGTATAAGAGCCGGAGTGAAACGTGCGACTTCCGAGACTGAGGTTCCACAACATTGTTTCCGCGCCAGTACAAAGCGAAAAATAAATATGTAAATACATACAGGTACAAATAAACGTCAGACTTTGCGTCAAATATTTAAAACTTAATTAAAAAAAATACTTACCGACAAGAACAATTATAAACAATTAATGTTAAATTATTGGAAAATCCATAGAATTAAAGTAGGAAGTGACGCAGTACAACTCAACATTTTAGATACAAACTTTACTTAACTTACAAAATTCTGTTAAAAAATTAACTTTTCAGAGCTCCTGACTAGCTTACCTTTTTTTTTCTTTCCATAATGTGTGGATAAGAAAAAAAACAATGCCATTATTGTAAAATTATAAAGCTTGATATACAGTCAGTGAAAATGGATCTAGATAAAGTAGTACCTCCCAATTATCTTCACGTACTTCAGTATATGTTCAGTAGTAGACTTAAATGTTGTTACTTAGTAACTATGTACATATATTCAATTACTGTACTCAGTACATAAAGTTCTGAGGTGCCTGGGTATTTCCATTTTAGGCTACTTCTTCTCTACTACACTCCTGAGGGAACTACTACTACTTTACAGATTAATATTTTATAAGTAGCATGTAAAATGTCATGTATTTTTTCCTATACATTACACTACCTAAATGTACAGTATATAAAATAGTTAAAACTACCTTCAAATTGACTATCCACAACATTAAAATGCTGCTTACATATTAGTGTGTCAATAACAATTATCTGCTTATATAACATTATGATAATACAATGCAGACAAAGGCCATTATGCCTGGATAATTTATTATTTTATGTTTGGCATTTTAAGTACATTTTGGGAACTTTTTTGGAATTTTTGCGCAAAGAAAAGAACTAAATACTTCTTCCACCACCACTGGTCAATTCCATTCCATCCTCATTCAAAATATGATCAAAAATATGAGCATACTGGTTAGCGTTGCTGTTGTTACTTCTGACAAAATCAGCCTCTCCTTAACTATAATCACCAGTATAATACAGTATCTTGCACCTCACTGAAACCTTTGGAGTCAGGCTACAATAAAAAAAATGTTTGATTTAATCGATTAATGTCTCAAATGTCTTGTTTTGTACGACTAACTGACCAAAACGCACAGATATTGGGTTTATAATGATATAAAACAGAGGAGAGCAACAAATTATCACATGAGAAGCCAGAACCAGAGTATGATTCCTATTTCTGATCAGGTAATTGAACAGAATTGCTCATTTTCCATTGATCGCCAGATTGTGTCAGGTCTACTTTCGATATTTTTGCCTAAATTTAGCCATCTGGATTTTACACATATCGGTACTATGTCTTTTATATGTGTCTTTTCAAGTCTTTTCATAAAAATGCAGTGGTAACATTTCAGTCCTGATAGTTGAACTTCAAGTATTTACAAAAGAGGAAGTAATACTTTAATCGTCTCCTAATCAGCATTATGCATTTGGTTTGCCTTCAGTCTCTTTCTGTCTCTCCCAATTAAACATATTACACCTGGGGGATGCCGAGTGCATAACATGTTGCGCCTAATTTGTCACAATGACCACAGCATTTGTTTGAGCAGGAAACATGGAAATGTAAATGAACATAGAAAAACACAGTAAAGCCTACACAGCAAAAGATTAAAACTCACCATTTTATTATGATAATGTTATTTGATATGTCAAATTACAAGTGTATGATGTAACATAAAAACAGTTACAAACATATGTATGCATATTTACATTATATATTTATGAAAAGTAACGAGCTACATCTGTATGCAGAAAATACAACTATGACATGAGTTATTGGGACTATAAATTTTACATCATATACTTGGTATTCTCGAACCATGATAAGAAATACCTAGACGTGTAGAAACCAATAGAACCAGAACGAGAGATGTTAAATTGTAAGATGGAAACTAGGATGGACGTGAGGCACTTTTTTGAGGTTGTCAGGATGTGAAAGCCGATGGCACTAAGAAAAGAAAAAGAAAAAAAAAAAAGATGCACAGGAAAGAAATATGCACAAAGAGAGAGTGAAAAAAAGAAAAAGAAAGAAAACAGGCAGTGTTTACAGAATAGTTAAGAGTAGTACCATTTATACTGCAAGTTTCAAAACACAAATGTCTTCCACTATTTAGAACTAATCACATAAATGTTACATCAAGCGCTGTAAGATGAAAAAAAGCTTACATATAGTATCATCAGTGCACCAAAGCATTGGAGAATTGAAACATAACCACTCAACTGCTGTGAAAAGTAACCTTTTTAAAACAATACACTGAAGAGAAACAGGTTTATATAGCTTTTTCTTTTTTAATCTACACAATGTCAAGAATGTACACTTGTATGCATTCCCAAAGATATGCACAATTTCCAAGATTGAAAGAGGATAAAAGACTAGCAGCAAAGTGGTTAAAACTGAAGTCTTATATAATGCAGGTCAAAAAAATATATATATATTAAAGCGGACAGACACATGTTGCATATATAATACAGTACATGACAGGAAGTTGCACTGTGCTGGTTAATGCAGAATGAGAAGTGTTATTTCAGCATTCTCTACACTTTGTATAAATGCACGTCCTACATTTTGCTTCTCAGCCAGCAAGTTTTAATCAGGTTCATCAAACCTTGGTTCAGCTTGCAATAATGCAGGGCAATCCAATTACAATGGGAGAATATGACAACCAACCAAACATTTGGTTACACACCAACCCCACACGCGCACCACCAGCACACACACAGTACACACACTCGTCGTGGGCACACAAGAACGCACATATATAGTAACACTCGCGCACCCACACACATGCACAAGTGTCCACTTCAGCACACAGAGCAATCAAACATTTAAAAACTCGCCGTCATGGTTATATGCTGTTGGAGAATTAGGGTTTAACAGTCGTTCATAGCTGATTTTCTCTGTCAACACAATAAAATTAGTGATTGTATCTAGCAGCTTTATATGTATGTATGTAAATATATATATTTATATATCAAACTTTTGAAACAAGTGGACTGCCACTACTGTACCATGTTAGCACTATCCTTCCTTCTACCGTACAAAACTAGAGAGAAACTCTATTAGAAGCTCAATAGTCATTTCCATCACAAACGCCCTCTACTTTTCAATGTGAAATAATACTAAAAGGTGACCTATGTACATAATGCTGTCAATTGAAGCTACAGTATATGCTGACAGCAACGATAAATACAGCTCTATCTTTAAAATTTCAAAAAAAAAAAAAACAAACAAAAAAAAAAAGAAAAGCTGGGATTATTATCAGTACTTAAATATAGTGTTAAGTATTTACAGGTGTTTGGAGTTTGGTACCAGGGGTTGGTTGTCTACCTATATAGCGTTAAAGTGTCCTGTCCCGTCACTGACTCAGTCTGCAGAGAGGTCAATGTGTTTCCCACATTAGAAAGTTTGCATAGAAAGTAAAGGGAGCGTTGGTCAGGGTGGAATTAGGAAAATAAATGTTTCTCCTGCCACTACGTTATTTTTAAATCAGGAGTCATGGGAGGTGAGAAGAGATGCATATCTGTTAGCAACAGTACATGGATGTTGTACTAAATCTGCTGTTAAATGCTGAGCTGTAGTACAATTAGCACTCGTTTCAAACGTGCCAATGCCTTAGTTAGGGATGATTTCAGTTATTGCAACCAGACGTCCAAACTGAACCGTTATTTCTGTAGGGAATTTGTTCTAATCTAAGTCTTGTTGTTCAGAATAGTTTGGGTCAACAAAACTATTCTGTTCTGTTTAGTGAGCCAGGCCTTTTCAATTTCTAAATATCTGCTCTTTTGGGTGAGAAATGGGTTTTGAACACAGCTTGACTCTGGCTTACAGTCTGCCGAGCCCCTGTTTGCCAGAGGACCTTAAAGGAATAAAATTAGGCTTATTTCCTGTCTTTCCGAGAGTTGTGCGAGAACATCAATTCCACTCTCATGTCTGTACAGTAAATATGGAGCTAAAGCCAGCACCTGGTTAGTTAAGCTCAGTTTAGCATAAAGACTGTAAACAGGGGGAAACAGCTAACCTGGCTCTGACCAGAGGCAGCAAAATCCATCTACATCTTATGTCATGTTTGTTAACATAAACCAAGTGTAAAAACTATCATTTGTACACTTTGGTTTTTAGAACAAACTAAACAAACAAAATATAACATGTTAATTAGTGAGTTTTAGAGGTGCTGGTAGGCAGATTTTCTTACCTTTGGCCAGAGCTAGGTTATCTGTTTCCTTATTTCCAGTTTTTATCCTAAGCTAAGCTACACTAGCTGGCTGCTGGTTCCAGTTTCATGTAGAATGCACAGTATTGTATGTATTGTAATGTATTGATTTTCTCATCCAACTCTTGGCAAGAAAGAGAATAAGTGAATTTCCCTAAATTACAAATGACTCCTTTAACACCAGGATGTTCTGGGAAACAGGATGCTGGTCAGTACTGTTTAGAGTCAAAGCCTTCACCACATAGTCAGTGGTGACATTACATGACATCAGATCACCAGTGCATATGAAGACCTATGCACACGTGCACACGCACGTGCGCGCACACACGCACACATAAACACACAAACACACACACACATATCTGTATGTTTTTTGTTCTGTTTTGTTTACATCGCTAAGATACTCAGCATTCTGGAAACAAAGCATTCATTCTTTCATTCAGGGCCTGTAAAATGAAGACACGTGGAAGGAGTGGACTAACTTCCGAAGAACAACATAATACTACATTTGCACGAGATATGGGGGAAAATAAAAGGAAAAAAAAAAAAGAGGAAAAACCGATTCATGGGACAAACATGGAAATTTGAAGAGGGTGCTGCAACCAAAGCTTGGAGAGCAGTGCTTTCAGGGGGGTTTCCCCCATGCCTAATTGGATGTTAAATTAGTTAAATTTATGTACAGACTAATTCCAAAATCTGAGGGTTTCTCAATCAAAGAATAGCCTAATTTAAGTGCCTCATATTTTAACCAAGGAGCACTGTAACCCCTGTACTCACCAAAACAAAACTTGCTGGTTGAGCAACATTTCAGCCTTTGTTTCAAAAATAATTGTAAAATGAGTAGGAAAATAACAATGAGGAAACAAAACAACAATTTCACTACAGCAGTAAATAACTGGACTAAAAGTGAAATTCACTGGAGTAAATGAAATTGTCACGTATCGGTTTCAATTTAAATGGTTCAAGAGGTTCTAATGCTATTTTTGTGATGTGGAAAAACTATTTTTGGGGAACTCAGCATGGTAAAGTCATTACCATTTTTTTCCCTTCTGATCATGGAATCGATCCCTTTATTTTGGAATGCAATCAAATTGTCCGAATCACCTTGGAAAGGCAAGGTAATCATTTTAACATCTCCTAAATGAATGTCAAAAGCTATGCCAAGCTGTACCTTCAGAAACAAGTTACTCTTTGATTTTTTTCAACATTCGATGGAAAGGAAAACAAGGAAATCAATTGGCCATACATCCACCACAGGAACATCTCTCAAATGTTAAAATTACACTAAATATGGTGGTTAATGTACCACAATTTGAGAGGGTTACCTTTACTCAGTGGGGGGGAATACCATTTCTAGTGCACTTTTCTCTGTCTAGTAATTACATTGTCAGCAAATGCTTAAGCCATGAAGGAAAGGCCACTGTTACCCAACTGCAAATTCACAAAAAAGCAAGAACATATCCCTTTTAGCATACTCAAACAGCAAGTATTTTTCTGAACGCAGAATAGTTTTGTTTTCTTTTTTTGTCATTATGTTGTCGCTCTCTGTACAAAAGACAATTTTCCTTCATAAAGTTACACATTACTTGTAGTAGAGTTCTGACATTTGTGGCCTGGCTTTGTCAATGCATGAGTGTGAATGTGAGAGAGAGGTGGGTGTGTGTGTGTGTGTGTTTGTGTGTGTATGTGTCTGTGTCTGTGTGTGAGAACAGGTGTGTTTAGTAACATCTCCGAGTCTATTAATCTTGACGTTTCCTCCTCCTCTTCTCCTCAGATTAAGCTCCTGAACTTAGCTTGATGCTCAGAGCCCCCACAAAGCATATGGTTTGTCCTCCACTGCTGCTTGTCGGCGACAAACACAAACTGAAATCTCCAAAAGCCCTCAGAGCTGGGGATCAACAACATCACCCCGTCTGAGAGGGGAATGAAAAAAGGATGCCGGCTTTTAATTTTCCGCTTTTATCCACTTCCTGTGTTAGCTAGCTTTGAGGGTGTCCCAGAGTCTGGCATCGGGTCACCCCGCGGCCTTGTGCTTGCCCCCACAGCAGCGGCAGGCCTCGCCACAGTGGTGGCAGGCGCGCAGGGGCAGGTAGCAGCACATGCAGGGCGCAATGAAGGAGAGCGCCACCAGGGCCAGCCAGCGTAGACAGAACTGCTCGTCAGATGTGTCACATGAGCAGGGGTCTGAGAAGTCGCCCTCAGAGTCGGACATGCAGTGGTACAGCATGCTCTCGGCGCACAGCATGCAGCTGACTTTGTAGATGCACTGCTTGATCGGGTCGGGGGCGTCTTGGCACTGCCCCCGCCAGTTGTCTTCATGGTTGAACATCTCCCGACAGTAGATGCAACGCGAACGCTCACCGTCCTCTCGTCGCCGTCGGCCCTTCTTGGACTTCAGCAGGGGCGAGGGCTGAGTTTTGATGGCTGTGTCCTTGCCCAGCCCCAGCCCCATACCTGTTCCAATTCCCATACCAGGGCCAGAGTGGGAGTCCCCACCTGGGCCATCCGGGAAGAGGTACTCGCACTTCTTACTGTCCAGTTTATGGAAGGCGGTGGGGAAGTCCAGGTCCTCGCGGTCAGCATCCTGTTTCCACATGACAGGGTGGCGGTAATCCTCGTAGCCGCGGATGAGCACGTCTTTGCGTGGGTTGATGCGAACAATCTCCTCTTCGTCCATGTGAAAACTGACATGGCGAGTTGTCTTAAAGGAGACCTTCAAAAGAAAGAAATTGACAATCAGTTGGATTACTTTAATTTCACAAGCTTCAATCTTGCACTGGTAACTCCACACTTTCATACCAAACATCATTTTTGAAGAACTAATAATTCAAATTTTGGAGATGTGATTGGTTCTGTGGAGCAGAGGCAGACCTGTGGAGGCAGGTAGCGGCGGTTGCTGAAGGGGAACTCGTCGAAGGGCTGCGCACGGACGTAGCAGCCCCTGAATGGCTCGGTGGAGACGACGTTGTTCAGAGGAGAGAATGGCTCTTTCATTGGGGTACAGATGGAGGGAGGCTCATCACACACCTGGAGAAATACAGAAAAAAAGAAAGGTCAGGTAAGTTTGACAGTTTGTGGAAATCTCTTTGAAGGAAAACTCAAACACATTTTATGTTTGCCCTCAACACTTGAGATGACAACTACGTGTGAGGAGCCAAAGCATTTTTAAACTATTTTACGGAATCTGTTCTCGGATAAATTGTGATGTACCGTCATTATTGTTCTATATATACACATCTATATACATATTAGCTGAAGACTTTAACATCTATCACTGTCACAGTCTATGTTACCATAAGTCTGTCAAAAGTACTAATGGTCATCAGTTCAGTTTTCATGACCGCTACAGTTTTGACTCAGGGTGTGTAGGCTGTGTGTGTTCCACTCGTAACCACCAGGGGGCATCCTGCGCCCACACTTGGCCAAATGACTGTGCTGTGTGGTGATGACTCAAGGCCCTTCTGTTAAGAACTCAGAGTTCCCATCAGCCTTGCATGTGTTCCCACAAACATTTTAACTGATGCGAAATGTACAAACAGGGGCCCAAAAAAAAAAAAAAAAAAAAAAAAAAAAAAAAAACATGCAGAGAAAAATAAAAATTAGACAAATGTTGGAAAGTGTGCGAGGAGAAGTGAATGTGAGATAACACTCCTTCCACCTCATGCCAAATAATCTCATAATTACAGGAGGGAAGCTCACTGTTGACATCAATCAAGATGAGATGTCTATAAATAACATCTTGTGAATGCCACAGACGGCATCAAATAAGGCAAAAATTATTACTACATATCCACAAATATAAAAGAAATAGATATAGATCCATTAGAAACAGTCCAATACTTCAGTGCTCATGGCAACAAAATTAGAAGCGATGGCTATTTCATGATTCATGCGTGCAGAGGTGATGAGAGACGGGGGAGGATAGCCGGTTATTACATCAAGAGCTTTGTGATGATATTTTATGTCCAGCTTTATTTCAACACAACCATCTGCACAACTTCCAGCTTGTTCGCGCACCAAACATCACATCCCATATGAAAACCACATGAAAATAAGGAGAATAACTAAATTCTATATCTAAAACTAAAATTGTGTCATCTTTCTCGATACTGTCTTTATAGGTAAACTGTTTGAAAATGAGCCAAATAAACTGCAGGTCTTCAGGGTTATTTCTCTCTTGAAGTCCCACTCAGAAATACACAAACGTGGATGGACACACGCTGAGGTATCTCCACACGTACAACCACACGATCCAACTGCATTCAAGCCTTGTACACACTGGCTAACTGTCCCTCTTTTCCCACACTCACCCCGACCTCATCAAGGCAGGGTTAGTCCTCCTCTCTTCTCCTTCTCCCACCCTCTCTCTCTCCCTCTCTCTGCTCTGCGTGTGGAGGAGGCTGCTGGCTCTGGTTAGTCAGTGCCGTGTGTAAAGTAGCCCACGCCAGTGCTTTAACGCACAGCGGAAATCTGGTTTGCTCCCAGCTGCTGCTACAGTAATTACTGTCCTGTGGTTGCTAAGAGATGCTTCCTTTGACTTCTTTTTTTCCCTCTCTTTCTCTTCTTTTTTTCCCCCCTCTCTCTCCTCCGCTTGCCCCCCCCCCGCCTCTAGACTGCTAACACATGGTGTGTGTATGTGTGTGACTTTGCTCCCTCTTTGCCTCCAAACATACCAAGTGGTGTAACACACATCCACAGCGTCTGCAGGGGAATGTGAGGAATAGGAGACAGTGGAGGGAGAGAAGAGAAAGAACAGAACAGGAAAAAATGAGTTTGTGTTGTATTCCTGTGTGTGTGTCTGTATGTGTGTGTGTGTGAGAGAGAGAAAGAGAGAGAGAGAGAGAGAGAGAGAGAGAGAGGGAGAGAGGGAGAGAGGGGGAGAGGGGGAGAGAGAGAGAGAGAGAGAGAGGGAGAGAGAAAGGGAGAAAGAGAGCAAGAGGCCAAAGAGTCTGCCGAGGGAATGTCATAAACCAGCTCCAGCTGGAGAAATGCAGCACAGAACTTAAAAAGCCAGATGACAGCTGTGTGTGTATGTGAGAGAAAGAGAGAAAGGAGCGAGGGGTGGAGAGGTGGGGGGGCGAAATGGGAAACAGACTTGGGCTTCCTTTTAAAGCGCTTGCCTAAGCCCCACCATTCAAAGGCATGCGTGGGGGCCAATCTGGAGCTGATCTGGCCCTAGAGATGTGGCTGGGTGAGGGAGGAGAGGAGAAGATGGGAGGGACGGAGGGGAGCAGGGTGGAGGTGGTGGGAGCCAGGGGCAACCTGGCTCCACACCAACATCAGGGATCCATGCACTTCCGCCCTCAAAGGCACAGGGGCTCAGGACAGGGAAGGCTGGGGTCGGCCCACATACTGAAAAGCCACTCGGCGTACTAGCTCTCTGCATCAGAGAAAAGAATGGAGAAGAAAAGATGATGTGCATGTTCAGAGGTCTGATCAACAACACTAAACTGTTTATGACTGTGAATATATGCGTTTCTCACGCTCAGCTCAAATGAGGCAAATCATGAGTAGCGCTTATCTCTGGGTCTTGTTAACTTAAAAACAAAGAAGTACAGCCAAGTCACAGGCTATTCCCCACATGTCCCTTAAAGTAATGGGAAATACGCTTATTCTTTTTTTTGCCAAGGGTTACATGAGGAGATCAATACCATTCATATGCCTGAATATGAAATACTGTATGAAGCCACAGCCAGCAGCCAGTTGGTTTAGCTAAGCATAAAGACTGGAAACAGCTAGCCTGTAAAAATGACAATTTATGGTTTAACATGGAGTTACATTCCCACCAGTTCCAGGCTGTAGCTTAATATTTAACACACACACACACACATATATATATATATATATGAGACTTGTATCGATCATCTTATCCAACTCTCAACACCAAAGCTATGCACAAAATGCCAAACTATTCCTATAAACCGTGTGTCTTTACTGGCTGCAAGGTGCTTTATGGAGCCCTGTCAAGCCACAGCAAACCAGTCTCAAAGTTTCTGCTCTTTGAGTGAGGCTGTAGAAGTCAACTAGCCAACAAAACCTCTGTGTACTAAACTGATAAGAGAAAACTTCCTGCCAGTGCTAAATTAGATGCGGATGTTTTCCTGTGGCATTCAAAAAAAAAAAAAGTACTAACGGAAGGACTGTGGTGGTACAGCATTATTCCTGGCAGTGGGTCATCACAGCTGAGTAGGATATTGTGCAACCACCTTTTTTTTTTCTGTCTTTTTTTTTTTTTTTTTACATATACATATGCATATGCATATATAGTGTGTGTTGTGTGTTTGTTTCCGGGTGAGGGGAAGAATGCGGTAAGCTTGTGAGGGGCATACAAATGGTTGCCGAGTCTCAGTGGGCAGGATGTGGGTGGAGAAGACCATCTCGAAGGTATGTGGAGTGACACACAACACGCAAACATGAATGGATGACCCCACTCACACACACACACACACACACACACACACACACAAGTCGAATGCTTGTAACAATGCAAGGCTATCAAAAATTCCACCAAATTTCAAATTTTTTTTTTTTTTTTTTTTTTTTGAGATGTCTGAATCTAATCAAGGAACTAAAACAAGGTTGATGGGGATCTCCGATGCTGATAGATAGACTGGTGTCTGTTTACTCAACAAGGTCATAACTACTCAAGACAGATCTGCCGCAGTTAATAACACAAACTGAAGGCCCAAACAAAGAAATTTATATGCATGTTTATATGCATGTTTTTTTTTTTGTATACACCATATTCCTCCAGCATGTACATGCTTTAGAGAGCATATTCTATGAGGTTATGTTTATGAACAGTTGTGCGAATTTATTTTGGAGCATAAAGCCACACAGCTGATGTCACACCTTGTTGTGTGGTGGTATTTGCTAGTTCTCTGGCTGCAGCACTTGCCACTGGTTCACTTCTCTTTTTCTGTAGCCCAGGTCTCAGACCGCAACATTCGGATGCCAAATCACCATGGTGACACCCTCGGTGGCTCACTTGCTGAACCTTGTGAACACCCCCCCCAACCAACCAACCTCCCCTTCCCATCCCCCCCTACCGCCACCCACCCCACCACCCCCGCTGCCTAGCAACAGTGGTGCCACTGGATTTCCTGTATGTTCAGGCTGATTCCTTAAAGAGGAACTTCGCCACAGGAACAGGAACGTGGCTCTCCCTCCTTCACTGCACTTTTGGTCCACAGCGTACAGGGTGTCAGACACGAGGCAGGTCAAAGGTGATGATGACAATTGTCCGGCAAATGCAAAGAACTCATAACTCAAAACTAAGCCATTGGAGGTGCAGTGTGGTGTCAAAAACAAGATGTTGTTGAGGCAGTGGTGGCATTTTAAATAAACAGAGTCAGCGAAAAATAAAAACACCATGCCCTGCAATACAGCAATCCCACAATTAGTACTTGTTGAAGCTACTATTTTAGTTGTTTGCAACTTGGCTCAGTTTCATGACATGTTTTGAAGTTGTACTTGTGTTTATACCACAAACTATAGTGTGAAAAATGACCAGGGATGAATTAATATCTCTCTGACACAGTGTCAACAGTCATTAATTCCAAGTTTCACAAAGGTAGCACCTTTTGCAGGACAGTTGTATGTGTTGGACTGCATTCTCTATTTCCTGTCACTCACTGTGAATGTGCATTTACAAGAACTGCTCTCCCTCCCACGCATGTGTCTTTTCACCTACTTTGCAATCAGAAGTAAAACAGGTGACTGACGTTCCTTTAACAGGCCTGATATCTAAAACAAATGAACATGGGTGTGTAGACTTGAACTATATACCTGCTGCCTTTCTCTGCTAAAGAGAACACAGCACTCTAAACCACACATGTTGACAGTCAATATAGCGCCACACGCCATATATATACACAATTCTTAACATAATGCACCTGAACAGTTTTCAATCAGTCAACAAAAGGAGGCCAAACTCATGAGGAAACACATTCAGGCTGGAGAACATTGAAATCATAGCGCATTTTCACCAAGCTGCCTTTGAACAACCAGATCCTGAGGCAATAGTTATTACATCAGCATCTATTGTACCAAGAGTGACAGCTACCAAGGTAGATTGATAGAGACAGCTAAGCTTGCTCCAGCACATTCGCTGGCCAACACCCAGCTTCACCTCAGGGTCTGGCTGGCACTGGTTAAACACCTGTAAATCTCTAAGAACAACTGTTAGAAAACAAAGGCAGGTGTCAGTGCCTGGCTGGGACACATCAGCCCTCAAACATATAGCTCAGGTTCTAGCTATGACCTGCCTCCTATTTAATGGCGAGGGAGGGTTGAGTAATAAATATAACTACATAAGAACCTACAGTAGGTGCTTTTAACACTATAATTAACCATTTCTCACAGCATGATACATAGAGACTTGATTAAAGAATTATCAGTGTGTTCAACTGGGCTTTTTTGTGAATTTGTCTAGCAAAAAATGAACTGTAAAAAAGCCTACACTAAATAAATTTGACCCAGCGCACTAAAAACACACACACAAAACAGATTTACTTCATACTAAAAACACTCAGTTTTGATGTCACTTACCGGTAGTCCATCCTCGGGCGTATCCCCTTCCCCAAACGACCGACAACCTGGAGGAGAGAGGGAGAAACCCAGGAGGGAAATGATTAGATGTATACTCAAGCCAATATAAGCATTGTTGCAGTTAAATAAGCAACTAAAAGGTTAGATCAGTTAAGTATTAAAGGCACACAACCCATTTAACAGCATTTTCTAAGGCATACATCTCAATTAAAACCTCCTCACAGTCACCAATAGTATTACTGACATGTAGCCTCAGGTTTTTCTACATTACAAAACCTGTTTAATAGCACATATTCATAGCACTATTTCTACTGTCTTAGGTAAATTTATTTGACAAAAAAAAGACTTCTTTTTGGACCACTAGGGGGCAAAACCTTGTGGAAAACCAGTTAATTCTAAATGACAGTCTTTCACTTACTTGTACAAACACACACAACCAAAAAGATTTTTTTTTTTTTTTTTTTTAAGCCTAAGCTACATTTCTGATAATTTATACCATGTTCATCCAAACTATTTCACTGTCAATGAATGGCATCTCTTCTACAAAGCACAATAGATTCACAACACTGATTCTTGTCAGGGCAGAATAGGCCAAGACTTCTGCTTTCCTCTCACTGCGTGTAATGGGGAATTGAAAGCTGCTTTGTGTCAGTGGGGCACACAGAAGTTAATGAAATATGCATGCCTAGAATAATGTAACCCCGACCTCGGCTAAAACGCCATGTGACATTTCCGCATCCAAAACACCTCGTCTGCTGATGCTAGAGTCAGAGCTTATGTTTCAGGTATCAGGCTGACCATGTTACAGCTTTTCATTACCACTGAGAATTAAACTGGTTCTGTCGATGGTGTAACCTGAGCAGAGACACTAATGTTACTGGTATTTTCTTCTTCTTTTTTTTTTTTTTTTTTATACACAAGATGCTGTTTTGTTAAACCCCTTTCTACCAATAAAAGGGCGGAAAACGTTCAAATTTAGAACTCCACTGCTGAATAAATAAAATTGCTGTCCAATATTATTGTAATTTAAAAAGTAATGTTGATGATGTACAGTTGTTAATTTTAATTGTGTTCATATGTGGAGTTCAGTGTGTGCAGATGAGGATGCTGAGGATGCTGTTTAGATGAAAGTGTTTGTGAATAAAATGGGCCACTCCAATGAAGAAGGTTTGTATCTGATGTTTGATGTTGAGTAAAAACCAGTGCTGCTTGTGACTCTGTGCTTTTGAAATCTTCAAGCAAGATTGCAATAATGTCAATCAAACTATTCTGATACGTGACATCTACCTAGCTTTACTTGTAATGTGGGCATTACTGCGATTTGTTTCAGTCCTACGTTCTTTGTCTTATTATTCATGTAACTTAAAGCGTAAAGGTTTTCAGATTTTCTCTACTTTGCCTCATATGGTTGAAAATCTAATGATCCAATAATAAAAGTCAATTAACTTTGTGTTAAACTCATGCATTTTCAGTTACCTGATTAAGATTAAAGTACAACTTGATATCATTATCACTTCACATGTACTGGTATTCAGACTAGTATTGTAAATTTACACACAATATCATTAAAGACTGTGATGAAAACAAACCTAGAACTTTTCAGCATATTCATGATAAAAGAAAACACTGTTAAGGAAACTTAATAGAAGAGAAAATGGTTGAAGCTAGGGTCTTGGCAATGTTGAAGAAAACAGAGATTAAACCATTTCCATTGGGATGAAAGGGAAACTGTTTGTACCTGGGGCATCAAGCGGTTCTTTTTTTAAAACTTAGGTTCACTTAATTAGGATCACTGAGGCCTCGTTTGAAGCACCGAGGCATCAGTCAGCCTGTCTGCATTCAGGGTGGGATACATTTCTGTATCTGCCATAGAGAGGACAGAAGAATTCACTGTAGCTCTGTGGCTTGTGTTAGACACAGTCTGTCCATCAGTCTGTGTGTCTGACTGTCTCTGAATCACATGGAGAAAGGTGCGTGTGTGTGTGTGTGTGTGTGTGTGTGTGTGTGTGTGTGTGTGTGTGTGCGCATTTATGCACTACTGAGAGAGAAAGAGGCTTCCTGCAGCACGACTCTGGCAGTGCTGGGCCGCGAAGCTGCCTGAGCCATGTGCCCGGCGTTGCCATGGCAACAGAGGACTGCAAGACTGATACACACACGTGCGCACACACACACACAGGCAAAACATATTCTCTCTCGCTGCCTCTTCTCTCCCCACGCACATTCACGCAGCAGTCCAGCAGCAGAACGATGCAACAGGAATACAGAAGAACCTGCCTGCCTGTGCTGAGGAGAGGCATTACACAACACTGGCAGAATACAGAAGATGCCAGGAGAGAGGGGAGAACAGAGGGAGGAGAGGACAGGAGGGGAAGAGAGCAAGAGAGAGCACGAGAGAGAGAGCGAGAGAGAGAGATGGATAAAGAAGTGCAGGCACTGGGGAGACAAAGCTCACCATCACCTGCTGTAGCTGACATTCACAGGAAAGAGTTGAAGCATTTACTAGCAGGCAGGCACTGAACAACCTCTGAGTGAGGTGAGGGGTGGGGATGGGGGGTGGGGGGGTGTTTTTAATCACAGTGACCAGCTATCCGACAAGCTCAACTTTTTCCCACAAAGCGTAATAATAATTAATTTCTCTTTGTCTATTTGCTGTGATAAAAAGATTAAGAAAACCAACAAATATTTACATTTGAAAGCTGTGAATGTTACTTTAAAAAAATGAAATAGTTGGTGATTCAATTTCTGTTATTCAACTAATATGTTAACTGAGTAAAACAGCCTAAGCCAACTAGGCCTCACACCAACCAATCGGACCTGACAAATTACCTCCCATATGACACTGTTGTCCTCTCACTGATATAGTGTTATGTCTATAAGATCCTATTATTCTTTGCTCTCTTTCTTCATGTGAAATTCACAGGAAAAGATTTTTGCAAACTCAGCCCCACAGTCGTTGCCCATGATTACCTTTTACCTAGACTATGTGTGGACTTGTGCCCAGGAAGTTCAAATCTCAGATAATAGGTTGTGGGCGAGAAGCGACTGATGCCCAGCAGCGATAAGCCTTTGCGATATGTTCTGCTGTACCTCCTCTATGCTCCCCAGGGTTCCTGGGTCTAGAGAGTAAAGGAGATTATAGCGTGTGAGCCAGCCAGCCAGCCAGCCAGCCAGCCAGCCAGCCTCTTGTGTAACATGGGGCTGGGTGGCAGATTGCTGAGCTGGCGATTCTCCTGCTAATTGGATGACTTTGCAACCTCTGGCACTGCACTGAAAAATAATGCTTATCAGGACCCAACTCAAATCAGAGACTCAACTCCACCCAAGTGTAATATCTAGTTTAGCTTAAAAATATGTATAAATGCCACATTATACACAGCCAGACCAAACCCTGCTTGTTTTTCGGACTAGCCTAGCCAGTCCTCAAACTCACTTCCAAGTGTGAGCAGCACACAAGCCCAACCTGGTCAAGTTTCGTCTGACGAAAGCTCTGCCCTATCTCAAGTTGCCATCTATTCTATGTCTTAAATGCTCTTTCTTACCAAGCCCTCCCTTTCTGTCCTATATCACCCACTACCTGGGCACAGCGCTACCCTGCCAGTCTCTACAGGAAGTGGAGAGTTTATCTGGGCAGCTGGCACTGATAAGATAAAGCAGGAGGGGGTCATGCTCGGGTGAGTGAGCAGGTAGAGAGATTGGGGGTGGGGGTCATCAACGCTAATCAATGCTATGCATCTCCCCTACAACAGATGCTAGGTCAGCCGTTACAAGCTAGTGACAGACAGGCAGGAATACAGGCTTCAGACACACAGCAACAGAATGCATGCCACATCCATACACATACACCCATATTATTTTACGCGTATTGGATGGCTGCCAACACACATAGTATAGTGCAACCTCTTAGAGGGAATTCCAAACAAACCTGGTGTTTTGTTGATCGTGTGAGAGGGTGAACGGGGGGTGAGGGTAGTGAAAAAAAAAAATCTGTGGGCTGCTCTGATGTTTTGATACGGAAACAACAGCAGATGCTGGTTGCTTGATTTTTAAGTTAAGGTGCGTTCCGCTGAGTTGCTATTGACTTTGTTATCTGGTTTGACCTGCTTCAAACTCACACATGCAGGCACCATTAACAATGGGACAACACACACACACATGCCCACCTTGGTTGATGTCCTCAATGGCCCGGCGTATGCCCCGGTCAAAGGCACGGGCGTCAGCAGGGCTCTGGAAGGTCAGTCCAAACTTCTTGTCGTTGATTCTCCAGTGGTGGAAGATGGGGTTGACCTTGTTGTATACAAGACCTTTCTGTAGGACACACTCCAGGACCACCTGATGACACAAACGCACACACAGTGTTTGAGAAACAGGAATAGGAACCACACAAGTTGTACTTTCTCTCCAGATCCAGACAGTGCTAGAAAATCAAAGTTGTAGTTCCATTTGGTCAAGCTATGAGTTGTTAGTATGCAGACTGGAAACTGCATAATTTAAAGGCTGGCTGATGTTGATGAAACTCAGTGGGGAACACACATGTAAATCCTTCATCTGATTCCTCTCCCTAAGCTGTTTAAATGTGTCACATTCTATCGTTCCACTACAACGTGAGTAAGAGAAAGAGAGAGAAAGAGAATGAGGAGAGGCCCTGCATCTGGAACTACACATAACTCTAGAGCTTCTACAACAGAAAACGAAAAAAAAAAATCATCCTAAACCCAATAATTTCACATACTTTTTTGGATAATTTGTAAAACACATTCTAAATGGTGGGGTTTTCATTTCAGATGATGATAAAGTTGGTGAGCAGCGGTGGTGGTAGAAGAAGGGGGGCTGAGTATGTTTTGGAACCAGGCAGCCAAAGTGTGTGGCAGAGAGAGACTGTGTTTCCAAAGCCTATTATTAATCAGGGCTACTGGGCCGCCTCCCGGCCTTCCTCTAGGCAGATTAAATGAAATGAGAGACGGCCATTACAGTCTTTGAGGTTTTTTTTTTTTTTTTAACCGACGTGCACGAGAAGTGGCTTAATGGGGTGTGAATGTGTGAGCGAGCGTGCGCATGGCGATCTGCGTGAGAGAACGCGTGAGCACAGGAGCTAGTGTGATGACAAGCTCAATGACCCCAAGTGCTACACTGTGCATCTTCACAGTGCAAATGCCTTGTCAGAGGATAACAGTCGCAAACCAACACTCGACGGCTGAAAGCAGATGGCACCGTTCCCCCTGGATCTGGGCAACAGTCAACATGCACGCTTTAAGACGCTGATACGTGGCAGCTGTATGAGAGGTTGATGATATGTGATATGCGTGTGTCAGAGCGGGAGTTCGCCGGTCTACATTTCCTTCTGAATGTCTGAGTGAGAGTTGCTTTTCACAGTCTTTGATACGATTGCAAGTGTAGTGCAACATCATTTTTCTGCATGCGGATGTGATGAAAATGTGTCTCACAGTATCTGCCTTCACATCACTATTGGATACAAGTATACCCAAGAAGGAGGGGCAGGGGTTAAGCCTGTGTGTTTACCCAGAGGCAGTGGAGGAGGAGAGGGATGGATGTGAGGAGGATGGTGTGGCAAGGCGTTTGGGGGTGGGGTTTGGGTGGCGGGGTGGGGTGGAGAGTGGGGGGGGGTCCTCTGTGCCTCTGGGGCTGATTGTGGAGGCGAGACTGAATGGAGCCAGAGCAGGTAAGGTGAGCGCACAGCAAGGCCGACAGAGGAGGAAGTATCACAGTTGCATGGAAGGACGATACTTAACACCACATTCCACACTGTGCTCAGAGAAAAGAGGAGGAGGAGGAGCCACCCTGACAGAAAGAGAGACAGAAACGGAAAGGAGGCAGGAGATGTTAGAGGAGGAGAGGGACGGAGAGACAGAGACAGACGGAGGTGAGACGTGCAGAGAGCAACGATGAGATAGCGTGAGAGCGGAAATGCTTGGAATAAAAGGAAACATCATCAAACCTAATTGTCTTGGAAAATGTTTGGTTTGAGCTTATAAAAGTCATTTGCTGTGTATTGGTGTATCAAAAACATAGATACACAAGCATGAAAGATGGTACGCAATGATTGCGTTTAAGCACTCACTTTTGAAGGCTTAGCAGGAAAGTGACACATCACTCACGACTTTAACCATATTTCGCTCGCAAAGATAGAACAATCAAATGACAAGGTTGACAGTAGAAACAAACGACTATATCCAGTGGGCCCTTGCCCCAAGGCAAAACTATTTAGAGTTAACCTTGTCCACACCACATTCACAGCTGTATCAATCAAAAGCAGTCACAGACTATGAACAACAGGAAGTGAGGTGAAGTGGCAGAGAGCTTAGCCAGAGATTTGTCATAATCCGATAGCCTGTATGGTAAGTAATCATCGACTAATTAGATCTGTAGTTTTTAAGAGTCAGAGAATCTGAGTGAGTGAGAGGGAAAGAGAGCAAGTGAGAGAGAGAGAGGAGGGAGGGGGCAAGGAGGAGAGTGATTGGTAGCTATATGGAGAGCCAGCTGAGTCATCACCAGTACACTCTGTGCCGCATCACTGCGCTTATAGACAGATCCCCTCCACTTCTCTTCTTCCGTCTCCCGCCTATCTGGTACCACCTCTGTTTCCTGCTCTTTGACTACACCCACATCTCTTTTCCTGATTCCTCTCATATCTTATGCACCCCAATCACCGTGTTTCTACCAGCCGAAATCGTGCCTTTTTGATTTCAAAATAACTGCATCTCTAATCTGTTTTCCTCCATCTAGCTCAGGTTCCTATCAGGGATGGGACGTGTCATTGTGCTTCTCTATCATGTTCATTTCTGGCTGAATTACAACACTGAAATTGTATCCCTTAAGACGACAAAAAATATACCTACAACATATAAGACTATTTTCTTTTTCTGTGAATTACAAAAGAACAACTCAAACCAAACAGCCATTCAAACATTCCGGAGCTTCTCACTAGGCCTTTTTTTCCCCTACTTTTCAACATCATTCATACAACATAATTACGGTCTTTCATTCACTTCTGAAATCAAAACACTGACGCTGCTGTTTTAAACAATACTGTCGCAACAAGTACTGATTTTGTCATGCGTTTTTTCTGACTATTGCTAACATGTTCTTATGTGGTTCTGTCTGTTGCTGTTGTTTTCTTGGACTCATCATTCTGCCTCTCTTCTTCTGATGCCCTCAGACTGTCGGTAACGCTGTGGTTCACGCCAACACCCTGGCACTGGGTGGCATCCCGGCAGATCTACATATGGCTGGGTGTTTGTTGTGGTGGCTGGGGGTAGACTCTGGCGATGATAGGGGTGTTTTACCACATCCCAGAACAGTTGCCAGGGTCTCTGAGCCATGTCTATACCCTGTCTGAACAACAGCATTCCCGTCACACCCTTTCCTGTGCCACACACGCGCTTGGATAGCAACGCGTAAAACACAAACACGCCGTAAACACAAAACACACATAAAATGTGTTCATTCAAAGTGGATTTATAAAAAAAAAAAAAAAAAAAAAAGGTGATTTAGACGCCCTGCTGTAACAAGCCACCAGACTCTGCGCATCATGGTGGCCTCCTCTGTCTCCTGGCATCTGACAGACAGTTACACACACACACATACACAGATTTACACTCTCATTACCGCAGACCAGGATTATCCCAGTGCATCTACTGGATCTGTTTTACATCTACAATACAGAATGAGTGTGTGACAAGTAGGTCACGAGTTTTACAGAAAACTACAGCATAAGCCATAAGGATTAGAACCACAACATATAACTTGATCTTTTGAAGCCTCACTTTGATTGTGAAGAAACAGAATGACCATGCAGTTTGCAGCTGAGATGTTTTCATGAGTTCATGTTATGCAGGGTGCCAAAAATGGGTTTAAAAAATAAAAAAATATATATTTATTGTCAATAATTATACCCCTTCCACTGCATGTTATATTTACAAAAGTGTAGCTGATTTACAAGCATTTCGAATCCATATTCATAATTGCTTTATAGGACATTGTGCTACTTATGAATGAAGCCCTACACAGCTGGCGCCACTGCAACTACTGACAAATTGTGCTTGTAGAGCAAAGATTGCAGTGCAGCTAGAGCATGGTAATGCTCAGTTTGTACTGTAAAAGACTTAACACTAGAGCTGTAATGAGTGGTCAATTAATGGATAAGCTGATTGACAGCTCATAGACAGAAAATCAAGAATCAGTAGCTGTTTTGATAATGAATTATTAGTTGGCTTGTTTTTCAAGCCAAATGCCAGCTATTTACTCATTCCAGCTTCTCAAATGTAAGATTTTTGTTGCTTTGTTGCGTTTGGACTGTTGGACAGACAAAACAATCAACATGAATATGTCATTGGGCACTGGAAAATGGTGATGGCCATTTTCAGCATCTTTTGAAAAATGAAAATAAGATTATTGAACAATTGATAGCAGCAGCCATACTATAAAAACCCTGCTTTTAGAGCCAAGTCATTTTTAAATGGCTTTGTAGCTCTAACTGTTTATGTGTCAGGTCATCACATTGCGAAATACTAGTGTGTCTAAATTTTCCTATTAACTATAGAGCGTTTTACACACATTTGGGTCATTTGTGGTTTTTTACTGTTGGATTAACCAGGGACATATTTTCCTGACTTAATTTACTGTCGCATACGTTCTTTACATTACACATCAAGTAGGAGAAAATATTCATAAAAAAAAGGTAGGCAATTATATTTGTGTACTTGGAGAAGCGGAGTGAGTGTGAATTTCCAGCCCCTATTCCATCCTTCAGGTTCCTTCCAGGCTCTTTGTGTGTTTCCCACATCCCTCATCCCACATTCTCCGCTCCTGAGTAATCTGCCCTTCTCCCTGATGATGTCATCATGCATCACAGCATCACGCAGTTTGCTCCTATTTTCAGATACCTGCGCCATGGAGGAAAGCCAAACAACCACTTCCTGTGTGAGTATGTGTGAATGTGTGTGTGAGCGAGACAGAGAGAGGGGAGTATGGGAAAAGGGGGGCTCACGGTGATCTCATCCAAGAGAATGCACCATCTCTGGTTTGTACACCTGAATGCGCATGAAAGAGGCGGAAGGGCCAAATAAGAGAGGAAACACACACTTATAAAGACACTATTCACACATATGAGCTAGATGGTCCCTTACCAGTTTGTCTTTGAGCCTCTCGCCCTTGATGTGGAACTCCACAGCAGTGGGGCTGGGACTGGGACTGGGGCTGGGACTAGGACTGGGGCTACAGGGGCTGAGGTTGCTGCTGCTTCCTCCGCTGCCTCCACTGTGGGTGCTGCTGCTGTCCTCCGCCCGGCTGACCTTATAGACAGTGACACAGCTAAGGCCTCCGCCCCCCAGGGGAAGCCACCCACCGCTGGAGTCATCCCGAGTCATGACCACTGCTCTCACACGCGCATAACTGTCACTGTGGAGGAGGAAGGGAGAAAATGAGGAAGGTGGAAGGATAAGAAGACATGGGGAAAACAAGAGAGACAATGCCGTTAGTGAACATAATCAGTGGTAATCAGCATCTAACATTTTTCTATCATGGTCTTTTCCTTATGGACATTTTCTATTGACACAATATGTCACCTGGACCACAAAAGCATCATCAGAACTACATAGCCGACATCAAATATCAGCCCACATAATAGAGTTGAACCGCAGAAGAAACAAGCTGGAGTACAGTACGTGTAACCTGCACAAATGGTTAGTAAATGAGTAGTGAGGAACACACTATACAGACATGCAGATAAGATTAGGCGAGGAGACAGGTCTAAAATGTCTAGATCACATTTGTCCAACAGTTTGAATGTTTTACTCCAAGTGAAACACAAACCCCATCACACTAGAACTACTCTGATACTGAGACTGAATAAACCAAATTAATCTGTGGGGAAATTCAGGTGGTGACAGAAGCTATAACTAGGAACAATGCAGGCTAACATCTGCGACAAAACTAAAAATGAATGTAAAGAAGTCAGAGATTCAGACTTTGGATTAAATGTATATTTGGTTTTAGTGCATGAAATAACAGACTATTGGCTACGATTTCTGAAGTTTGAAGCCGTCAATGTATGTTTAACCCCAGCCAGAGGGTGACTGACCATGTGGCCAAGTTCGGGCTTTGGTCACTGCTGATTTCCAACCTTTCCCCTAAAGCAGGTGGTTTCAAATTAGACAACACATGACAGGAGCTCCAGCTTACATCACCCTCTTTCCACTCTGATTTCCCATGCTAATGCTGTTGGTTGTCTTCCTCCTCTCTCTCATGTCACCTACTAGGGCTCTGAATTATCTGGTAATAAATTGTAATGCAGTTCATTTGTAATACATAACATTAACTATGTAACTGTAGGAAAGTATACACCTATATAAAAAACTAAATATGTGTTTATATAGAGCAGGAATGAAATGAGGGGGTGATTATTCACTGTATTAAGAAATGCTTTAGATTTCAGAGGTTTATAGACAGCTGACATGAGGCTGTGTGTACAAAAATGCACAGACTTTCAGGTTTTTTCCGACATACATGCAATATAAACACATGCAAGCAAAAATTCTGCATCTCTCTGTTCCTTATTACAGTTCTCTCCCTTCCCATCTCCTTTGCTTCTCCCTGTCCCTTCACTCAGTCAGATGTTTCCCTGATTAGATAACACAGACTGCATTGGGCCACCGGAAATAACAAAGGTCAGGGTGTGCTGAGGGCAGCATTTTGCACAAACTCCTGGTAACATATTAAAGACTGAGGAAGATCTGAGAGCTGAAAGAAACGGGCAAAGTGAGAGGAGAATGTGACTGCCGGATGTCGTCCTGTGACACATTGCTCTCTGGCCAACATCCGTGTTGACCAATGAAATGAAGTCTGAAATGTTTTGTAAAAGGACAAATTTGAAACAGTGACTGAGGGAGAGAAATGTCACTGACGACATGTAATATATTACATAGTTAACTAGTAGCTCATGCTCCAGTTGAAGAAAAGCTGCGTCCTCCCCCTTACTGCCTCTCCTCTCTAAATCTTGGCCTACTCAATGAGGCTAACCTTTGGTCTCCTGCTTTCCACACCTTTGGCAAACCTAAGTGTCCAGGTTATTGGTTAGTAATTAATCCAAGAGCCAGTGAGCATAAAATCTCAAGCTTTTTTTTTTTTTTTCTTTCATGTGAAAGCTTTGATATCCTGGCACCTGGTAATAGTTGACCAAAGTTACCTCCAAGGATTGATGAGCATAAAAAATACAGGTAAGCCAAAAATGAACCAACCAACAAAACAGATTGCCTTTGTGAAAACCACACACTTCTTTCTGGCCAATTCTAGTCTGTTCAAACACACACTAAAGACTAAAGACAAGTGTACTTCCGCACTTCCGCATCAATGTATATACTAAAAGACAGATTTTCTCAACAAATTACTTACAAAATATTGAGTATCATTGCCATCATCCTCTCTCCCCTGCAACTAACTTAAACATGTTAACCCCTACTACTACTAAGCTACTATAATCAATATTTTAATAATAACCATGTATCAATGTATCATAGTGATGAACCTACAAAAGGAAAATCCCTCGAATCTGCAGTGGAGACCAAAAACAGAAACAGAACAGAAAATGAATATTGATCTTACCAATAGTAGCTAAGTGACCACAAACACAACTCCGAATGAATGATAATGTTGCTCCATAACTGCTGGATGTGTGAATAAGCAATTGTTTGCTATATCAACTTAAAAAAGTGATGATGTCAATGTTGTGTTTACAAATTACAAATTTATGCTAGTCCCCAAGTGGCCAAAAAGTTATTAGAGGTTAAAAGCAAAGTTTAGTCAAACATTATGTTTTTAAATTGCTGTTATTGTGGTAAGAACATGACTTGTTAATTACCAACCAATTAAATTCCATGCTCTTAGTCCAATATACCTTGGCTAGGCTAACATAAAAGGAGAAAACATAAAAACTCTTTTAATAAAAGAAATATTTCGAAAATACACCTTGTATGAAATTTGACTGGTTAGCTACCAAAGCCTAGCTGGCCTGCTAGTACATTTTTATTGTTACATTACAGATGCGAGACATTGATTTCCTTTAAAAAGGTAGGAAGAGGTGAGGAGTAGTCTGGCATCAATGATTGTTTCATAATTTCATGAACACGTTTATATCATGCTGCTGAATTACTTCTACCACGGCTGCTGAGGATGTTTCAAATCCAGGCAAAGTGATTCGGTGTGCTTCTGTCATTAGAGAAGGCACGTTGTAAAATGATTAATCTATCTACCAGCAAGCTGCTATGTTATAATTCATTTCATTTACTTTATATCCTTGAATATATTTCCTCTTTTTGACCTTCCAATAACCCGTCACTAATCAATACACCCAAACAGTCTTGCGGTCAGATTGAATGACTATCAAATTCTTCTATGATATTAAATTTGGTGGCGCTGTGCTCACTACTGCCTGTTGAAAGTCAATGCCACGGCAATCTGTCTATATTTTCAGCTAGCTTCATCCTTCAGGGTGCAAACAGAAATGGACAACATTGGAAGTCTTTTCCTTTGTTATTATCATCATGATAATTCCAAAGATATTTTCAAATATTATTTTGTGATGTTAATGCCACTAAATGAGCACACTGATCCAAAGATAAGTAACTATTCTGCCAATTAAAATGAACATGAATAAACACTAAACAGTAAGGCTGGACAAAAACAGATACAGAATTTATTGAATTACCAATATAATGAATCTCTTGTCAACCTAAATGTATTCATATCACAAACGTCAATGTTGTCTCTCACGCATTGCTCCAAGCTTAAACAGTAAATGGTCGTGGGAAACTGACAGAAAAAATACAACCACAACTCACTTCCCTCTTACACCCTCCAACAACACCCTTTCTGGTTACACCTTATAACTGTGTCACAGAAACAGTGCTTAACCTTATACGAGAAAAAAAGTATTTTTGAGCAGTATAACAGGCAGTAAAAGAGGGCAATACTGCCACTGTTACACCCCTCTATGGCCCCCAATAAAGGATGCGGGTGATGAGTGCAGGAGGGGCTGTCAGTCAGGCAAGGGTCCCTGGGGTGAACAGAAGGCAGGCGGTGGTGTCGCTCAGCCATGACCAGGGCACAATGACCAGGGCCTGACCCTTCAGACCTACCATCACACACATGCCAGCAACCATGACACTCACAGAGAGGGGGGGCTGGGCACGAAGAGGAAGTTAAGTGGACTGTGTATAGGTGCATTATTGCATCTAGCTTAAAACACCCATGTCAACCTAGTTTTAAGAATAGGAGACATTTCTACAAGAAAAACTGATAATTACTGTAGTGAAATGGTGAATAATTCAAAACTCATCTCTAAGGTACACTTCTAAAACCTACAGACCAACTACTAAACTCAACCAACAAAAAACAAATGTACCAGATCCATTTAACAAAATCTTTACAACAGGGGAATAAAAATGTTCCATCTGCTCCTCTTCCTCTTCCTCATATAAAAAGCTTTCCTTTCTTATAGTAAAAACAGTCAGCGGTCCAAAAAGATATTTGAGTGCAACCTGCTGCAAACCACACAAACACACACACACAGTTCAGAGTGGGACGGTGGAGACAAAGGCTGGCCTCCACGCCCCTTGCTGGGAGCACACAGTCGACTGGACACACAATTGAGAGCGGAAGCAGATCAGCTGGCCTGGGCCTGTGAGCGGGGGGTGGGGGGGTGTTGAGAGAAAGGAACCCCCCATTCCAAATTATTCCAAGTTATTCTGCTGGATGACTGACTTCATTTCCGACCAAAAGCAGGAGAGAAAAACAGAGGGAGGGTTGAGAGTGTAACGGAGGACTGTGGGGGGAGGAGGAGGTGGCTGTGGATGGGAACAGGGTGGAGACCAAGGTGACAGTCAACAGCTCCTACCCGCATTTGAATATGGCCTTTTCTATTCACAAAAAAGGATGTACATAGGCTTTTATGGCACCTATATAAAATGATATAAGCAATAACAGAATTAACAGTATCATACTATTTCAAAGTTCGTTTTAAGTGAGGAGCAAACAAAACACTTTTTTGATTATTTGAATTTGAATCTAGCTTCCACTTGAAATAAATTCTAAGAAGAGAAGGCGTGATGGGGGAGCACGTGCAGACCAGGCAGGCCTGGGGCTCGAAGCTGGCTGCTCCAGTGTGTGGTGGAGAAGGGGGATCCTGGGACAACCATTTCCTAAGTGGACAAAGTGGCCGTTTGTCTGCTGCTCCGGCCCATGGCTCATTGGGCTCCAGCATGCCATCATGCTTTGCTCCTGTCTCAGCCTTGGGCTTCCCACCCCGAAGAGGAGTGGAGGGGAGGGCAGGACAGGGGTATTGGGGGGGGCTGAAAGAAAGACAGGAGGGGGAGAAGAAGGGAAGGAGGAGAAGGTAGAGGAGG